GATGGGCTCATCCAGGACCCTCCGAGTCTGTTTTGTTGCACTTTTTTCTGCTCCATGCACCGCGTGGGCTCGATAGCCCCTTAGTTGGGTTTTCCTTTCTTACCGGGCGGACTATCTTCGCGGACATTGTGGGGTAGTTTTCTTTTGGGCGTGGTTAAATAATGGTGGTGATAAGTGGTGGTGGTTGTGGTTATGATGATGGCATGTTTTTGTCGTCGTCGTGGCCCCAAGTTCGTCGTTTTAAGTCCCTGCGCAACATAACAGGCTTCAACAACCAGCTTTTTCTCAAGACCACCTCTTCTCCCTGTGCGATACTTTGTGATACCTGTATAATACCTTCCAGCGTCTGACCCTTCGACTCCAACCAGTCCTCACGCCTTGACTTTGTGCTCACTCGAGGTCGACTTGGCAGTCCGCCGTCCTTCGTTGACGACTTGCACAATTACACGGCGAGACGTCTAAACAGCTGTGAAACACGGATTAGTTCGCGCTGAAGGACCCGCCCCGCGCCGTACTCCCTCCCACCTCTGAGGCACCGGCAAGAAAGAAACTCCCCAGGCCGCCACAATGAACAAACTCGACGAACTCAAGCACAACATCACCGAGGATGCGTTGAAGAACGGTGACAAGGTAAGGGAGAAAACAAGAGCCTCATCACCATCATCATCCCCTCGCTAGCTTCTCAGGTTCTAACCCTATCTTGTCTGGTCTAGCAAACATCCACCAACGGCGCCATCTCCCGTGGACCAAGCCCCAATCGTGGTTCCTCTCTTCGCGATGTCGACGCCATAGGGCCAGACTCGGAGAGCAAACGTGAATGGCAGAAGAAGCGCGGCATCGACACCTCCAAGCAGGTCCGGATCACCAAGCTCAGCCACATGCGGTACCAGCATCCCGATCTGAACAAGATCACAACTTTCTTGAGAGGTCAGTCCTTACTCTACCAAGTTGAGAGATGACGAGGATGACTCGAGCGCACCCGAGGCTACGTGGTCGTCCTCCTTCTAATGTCTGTATTTGTAAACCTTACTGACTCTGTCTCGCTCCCAGACTTTGGCATGCATGTGGTTAAGAAAGGCGAAAACGAACGCTGGTTCCGCGGCTACGGCCCGGACCAATACGTCTACTACGCCCGTCAGGGACCCAAGAAATTCCTGGGCGGTGTCTTTGAGGTCGAGTCCAAGGAGGAACTCGAAAAGGCGTTGAAGGTCCCCGGCGGCACCGTCCTCACCAACGGCATCGAGGAGATGACCGACGCCCCCGGAGGCGGATATATCGTCACACTTTCCGATCCCGAGGGGTTCCCCGTGAGCTTTGTCTATGGACAGGCAGAGGTCAAGGAAGAGAGGGCCAAGCCCGTGAAATTGGTGCTGAACGACGAGACGGATAAGCCCCGATCGAAGGCTTTCCAGAGATTTGAACCTGGACCGGCCGCCGTCCACAAGGTAAGTTCCTTTACACACCCATGAACATTTATTCTACGCAATCCATCGAGCTCCTTAGCTGACATCCTTTGTCTTCCTCACAGCTGGGTCATTTCGGCATCAATGTCGACAACTTTGCCGTCCAGATGGACTGGTACACGCGGCACTTCAACATCTACCCTAGCGACATCCTGTACGTGCCGCTGGACTCAATCGACCCGGCCACGGGCAAACCGGCGCGCAAGGAAGTGGCCCTGTTCGCCTCGATCGACCGCGGCCAAGAGTGCGTCGACCACCACACCTTCTTCATGACGACCACCGTCCCGGGCAAGGAGAAGCACGTGCACCACTCGTCGTTCGAGGTGCACGACTTCGACACCCAGGCCCTGGGCCACCAGTGGCTCGCCGAAAAAGGGTACGAGCCCGTCTGGGGCGTCGGCCGCCACATCCTCGGCTCCCAGATCTTCGACTATTGGTGGGACGTCACGGGTTTCATGGTCGAGCACTACGCCGACGGCGACCTCGTCAACGAGGACACCCCCGTTGGCTACGGGCCCGCGGCCCACGAGGGCTTGGCCGTTTGGGGACCCGAGGTGCCCCAGACATTCCTGGAGTAAAAAGCCCAAGACAGAATGATGGACTTTTGTGTTGTGACAAATACGCGCTCACACGGCACTTTCAAGGGGTTGGTAACCTGTCGAGAATTCTCGAGGAGTGAGTGAGCGTGCAAGCGAGAAAGAGCAACAGCGAGAAAACGATGAGAAACAAAGATATCAGGAAGAGTGTCTGTGATGATTTACAGGAAACTTTATGAAATATCCAATATGAGGAGAAGGAAGAGGAGTCGTCGCTGTTTGTACGTGTTATGACATGCGTTGACATGCGTTTCCCTGAGGGAACCGATAGGACGGAAGGGGGAAGGGAAGAGAGCCAATGAACATCATTGATAATATATGCACCTAGGTGGGTAGTGGCGAAGGCGGCGGCGGCGGATTCATGTTCACGTATCTATCTATACTTGTCTAGCCAGCCCAACACTTTGACTTTGACTGCTATGATTTCCCTTTATTCTATTTCTCATTCTCTCGTTTCCTCTCCCCGTCTATATCTATGTCTTGGACTTGGACCTGAACCTGGATCCGGATCCATGTGTACTACTCGACACCCGATCTATCTTCAAGGTAGATATGCATTCAGGTAGCCAGACACGGCCAGACACGGACACAGACAGGAAGCCCGACAATGCCGCACCTCTGTAGGAGAACCAAACCAGGCGGAAAAGGTGCATCTTACCTGTCCCTTTTTCTTTGAACACTTACATGCATCCTCGTCTCTCTGTAGTGTACGGGGATATTGTATTTACCCTTTATCTGGATTTTATATTCTCATGGCTACCGGCTCGTTGAGTAGTCTACAGTCATGCACAGTTTGCACAGTTTGCACAGTTTGCACAGTTTGCACAGTTTGCACGGGACGGGACAGGACAGGACAGGGAAAATCAGTCAGGTAGTCAGTCAGGACCTGTAGATACATACAATGGTATATGTGTGTGTATATGTCTAATCTCGTCTGCCCGGTCTCTTTGCTTCAACCCTCATCTCGACCCGTGCATATAGATATAAATATATGGTAGGGATAGATTGATGAGTTAGATGTGCAAGCGTCGACGCAGGACCAACTGACACGCCCTTATAGTAAGTGTATATAGTTGTGCTTCAACAGGGCTGGACTCACACCGGCAGGAGCAACGACTCCCCACCAGCCACCCGACTCGCCCTCACCACTCCTCATACCGCACCTTGTTGACCAGGGTGCCAATCTTCTCGATCTCGACGCGGATGTCGCCGCCGTGCTCGAGGACCACGCGCGGGTTGCGGAAGTAGCCAATGCCCGCGGGCGTGCCGGTCAGGAAGATGGTGCCGGCTTCCAGCGTCGTGCCTTGCGAGAGGTAGCTGATCTGCTTGGCGATGGGGAAGATCATGTCTCTGTGAGGTTCGCCGCGCGGAGGCCGTGTCAGCAAGAGTCCAGACGAAACAATACATGTCACAGCATGAAAAAAAAAAAGACGCCTGGAGGGAAAGGGGGGTTCTTGAAACATACTTTGTGTTCCCGTCCTGCACGACCTGTCCGTTGTATATCGCTTTAATCTTCAGGCTCTGCGGGTCGGCGATCGCGTCTTTGGTCACCAGCACCGGTCCCAGCGGACAGCTTCCATCCAACCCCTTGGAGAAGGACCATTGTGTGGTCAACATCTGCATGGTCCGCGCCGAGACGTCGTTGCTGCAGGTATATCCCAGGACGTAGTCGAGGGCCTTGTCCTCGGGGATGTCTCGCCCAGTCTTACCAATCACTACGCACAGCTCGGCCTCGTAGTCCGAGGTGCCATCCTGCGCGGCTTTGGGGATGGGAATCGCGGCCGGGTAGGGATCTGCCAGGGCGGTGCGCGGCTTGGTGAAGAGGATGGGAGCCTTGGGGAGCGCCATATTTGCTTCCTGTACATTGCCCCAACATTCCACTTGTCAGTATATCTCTCTTTAAAATTGGCCCAGGGCTGAAGTGTAAGGGTGGACTAAGATCTTTCATGCCTGCACACGCTGACACATCGAGAACAAGAGGGAAGAGAACCGACATTTGCGTGATCCATGTAGTTCAAGCCCAGACACCGGATGTAGTTGCAGTCCTCGGGCGACACGGGGCTCAGCAGCTGCTTGACCGTGTAGACATGCTCCGTAACCTCGGGCGCGAAGATAGTGCCGTTGATCAGATAGGCCTTGATTTCCTTGCCTTCGACGCTGTCTACGCCAATGTCTCGAGAGGTATCGACCAACTGCCCCAGGTGGATGCGGTTGTCCTCGCTCGCAACGAAGCGGATGATGTGTGTTGCTTTGCCCATGTTTGTTTGTTTTGGCACTGACTTCTTTTGGGGGGTTTTTTCTCAAAATGCAGAAACAAGAAACACAACAGGATCGAACAAACGGGGATGTTGTAGCAGAAAATGGTGTATGATTCCTGAGGGAAGACCAGAACAACCAAGGCAAGAGAAACAACAAAAAAAAAGCCAGAGAAAGTAGAGAGAAGGGCGTCAATCGCGCAACCCTCTCTGCTCACAACCACCACCACACGGTCATCCCAAGAAGGGCCCCACGGTGTTTGAAGGCGGTGCGTCCCCTCCCTCAATCCAAACAAATGTCATAGTTTAGTGGGAGTCGGTCCGTTTGTCGGGGAGATTTCCCCTGCCCCTCAGGAAAATTCCCCCACGAAGGTTTGGCCAAGTGCCGACACGGCGAGAATGGTGGGGGAAATGGGAGGACGGGAAAGCTTGGGATTGTGGGAGAGAGGCCGATGTCGAAACGCCGTGTTTGACCGTGGCCACCTCTTGCATCTCCATCCAGTTCAGTTTAACCAGTTCCTCCGGTGGCCAGTCTGCCAGTGTCGCTCGGATCCGAGCCTTGTTTTCGCTCTTGAACATCTGTCTCACTGTTCGCCTTCGCGTCCGATGCTCAGCAATCCCGTCCAGGAGACCTCTAGCCTCTTCGTTTCCGTAACGGAGAGCTCAATCATGAATGTCGCTTTAGCCTCGTGGTCGCATCGTCGGAGGCGGAAAGGGGTGGCATCGGAAAATGTTTTGCGACACTTTCGGAATTAAATGTGAACATGTTTCCGTTGCGCAAGAGGGGATTGTGCAATTAGGACTGATTAACGACATGTTCGTTTCTGAGGAAAGCTGACACTGGGCTCTCTGAAGCTGGCACTGGAAAATGGCCTGCACTTTGAGAACCATGTGGCCTGCCTCAGACAGAGCCGATGTCAAAAATAAGTGGCACATGTAGTCTGACAAGAAATAGCAATGAGGAGCGATTCACCATCAACTTGAAGATGACTATCATTAGGCGTAATAGGACTGGTGTCACCCCTATTCTCATTGACAAGATTAGCTATATTTGATCTAGCACGGGCTTCATTCGCTGTCAAGCCACTACCTCAGTTCTGAGAGGGCGGCTACTTTCTGTCAAACTGTGCCGTTTTTTTTTGGGTTTCTTCTGAAGCCTCAGACAATGCGTCCCTAATCTAATAATTCAAGGTCGAAAGGCTTTTCTCAGAAGGATGCTGGGGACAGAGTATACTCGGCAGACATTGCACTATCAATGCTTGATTCGTATTCGGAGCCGCTGGCAGCCATGGCTTATTGATGGCACGACGCTGAAGAGACGTACTCACAGAGAAGACTATGGCTGAAGTACAAAATGAAATGCTGAAGAAGAAAAGAAAATGAAGGAAATGAGAGAAGGAAGTTCGTTTTCATTCAACGTCTGGGTGAAGTTCTCGGTGACATCTAACATCAAGTGTTTGTAGTCGCATAGTGGTGGCAAGTGCTATGTGCCCGCCAAGGCTGTGATAATCTCTTTGCGATCGTCTCAAGTATCTTGAAAGTAGATATCTCTTCCCCTCTGGCAGTTTATCCGTTCTTTCTCCCATTTGTCTCTGCTGTGAAGCAGCTACATGACAATATTTGTGACCCATTACTACATGTTACTGATCTCAACGAAACTATATCATCATTGTAAATCTCACAAAAGGTACTGAAACTTCAATCACTGAGAGGAAGATTGAACCTCCGTTCCTCCCACCAGAGGGTAACATCGGACCACAGCATAAATCCTTTCTCTTCGCCATCAACGACATCAGGACTGAATTCATTAGCGTCTCTGTATTCCACCCCGAGGCCCTGACTCCAGTCAGCACTTAAAATAGATCGAGTGTTTTGCACCTGCTACATCAACATGATCCCGAGTATCCCCAGCAGAGACAGCGGACCACTAGCCTCTGCATAAGCCAGATGATAGATATCATTCCACTCTCCATCTGTAGCCAGCAGGATGTGGTTGATTACTCAGGACCAGGTATGGAATTTTGGGAAGGTGTCGATTTCCAGAAACGCGTGAGCGAGAAGCAAATCTCAAGACAAATAGAAATACGTGGCTCGCGCGTAGCAGCCTGTTGAAGTCAAGCGTCGTTGCGAGCTGCCTCATTTGTCACCACTGAGTTATCCATATTTTTCATCCTGCGTCAACGGCCATGGCCATTCCGCCAATGAGCGAGAAGGCTTTTCGGAGTCGAGAACAGTAGATTAAACAATCTCTGTGAATGGCCATTGGGGTCTCGGATATCGGCGGGAGAGATGACTACTGCTTGGTTTTGCGGGGATGTTCAAGCATGCATAGTCAGGTTGGGAGAGTGCTTGGCCAAAGGTGGAACGACAACTGACAATTCTCGGGTGTAGCGGCCGTCTCGATCCTCTATCTCGACTGGACCTTGAGAGGATCTTCTGTGCAAAAGGCAGATCTGAATAGATCAGCAGGAGAAGGAGCACGCGTCACCCCGCGTGATGGAGCAGGGAGGCAACAAAGGGAGAGAAGGATAATTTCATGTCCACGCAGGCAAGTTTTTCGCCATCGTAGACGTCATCACTGAAAACCGCGAGACACGATGCGCACCCTCGCAACCCTCGTGAACCTTGCACCCTCGCACCCTTGATCGCTTCATTCGTTCAAGGTACTTCTTTGGTATCCATGACCTCCACCGTGAGCCCACAATTGTTGCCCTCTGTCCTATCAAAGCTATTACAATACACTCCATTCAGGGCCGATCTTTCGATGACCTACTAACCGCCTTCCCCTCTGACTGTGTCACTGCAATTATATAACAAAGGACTCCTCGCATGATCTTGCATTCCTTTAATGGAAGCTGTTCAGAGGATTGTTCAAGCTCCTGTTGATACTATCAGATCATTCACCATGGCAACAAACGATACGTCTTTCGCGGCGCATGTCGCCAATCAGTTCAACTCCTACGAGAAAGACCGCCAGATGGACTCCAAGCAAACCATTTACGCCGCCAGGTCAGTGCCCATAACCTATCCTTACTGTAGCCATTTGATCAATCCACTGACGATCCCGTAGCAATGGTGTCCCCATGGCTCATCCCTATGAAGCTCAACGCGCAGGGGAGAGTGGACCACTCCTCCTCCAAGACTTCCATTTGATTGATCTTCTTTCCCATTTCGATCGAGAGCGAATCCCAGAACGCGTTGTTCATGCAAAGGGAAGCGGTGCCCACGGTTTCTTTGAGTGTACCAACCCTGCGGATGACTTGACTTGCCTCGACATCTGGAGTACCAAAGGCAAGAGATGTCCCGTCACAGTCCGCTTTTCCACCGTTGGTGGCGAGGCTGGATCCCACGATTGCGCTCGAGACCCTCGAGGTTTCTCTGTCAAATTCAGAACCGAGGAGGGCAACTGGGATTTAGTTGCCAACAATACCCCGGTGTTTTTCCTCAGAGATCCCGCCAAGTTCCCCCATTTCATCCACACGCAAAAGCGACACCCTTCTACACACTTGACCCACGCTGACGACTCGACCATGTTCTGGGATTATCTGTCAAATAACCCTGAGGCAACTCACCAGGTTTTTATTTTAATGGGTGATCGGGGCATTCCTGATGGGTTTCGATTCATGCATGGCTACTCCGGTCACTCTCTGAAGCTGGTCAAGAAGAATGGTGATTGGATCTATTGCCAGATCCACATGAAGTCCATGCAAGGAACCAGATTTCTGACACAAGAAGAATCTGCAACCAAATCTCCTGATCATGCCCAGAAGGATCTCTACGAAGCCATCCAGCGTGGCGACTATCCCAAGTGGTCAGTGGAAATTCAAACCATGACTCCCAAGCAAGCCGAAGAAGTTTGGGCAAACCAAGGAATCAACGTTTTTGATTTGACCCACGTGTGGCCTCAAAAACAATTCCCCCTGCGTAAAGTTGGCGAATTCACGTTGAACGAGAATGCCGTCAATTACTTTGCCGAAGTTGAGCAAGTGGCATTTAGCCCTTCCCACATGCCTCCTGGCATCGAACCTTCAGCCGATCCAGTTCTGCAATCCCGCCTCTTCTCTTACCCGGATACACACCGACATCGTGTTGGTGCAAATTACCAACAACTTCCCGTCAACGCCGCCCGCACTGCCTACAAATACGGAAACTTCCAACGTGATGGTCCAATGGCATTCTACAACCAAGGTGGCCGGGCCAACTATCTCTCTTCCATCGACCCTATACAATTCCGTGAAAGGTCCGTTGATTATGACAAGACTCATGGACATTTCCAAGGCCATGCTATTACATTCCTCTCGCAAATTCGCCCCGAAGACTTCAATGGCCCTCGAGCCTTGTGGGAAAAAGTCTGGGACGAGCCTGCTCGCCAACGTTTCATCAACAATGTTACCGGCAAGATGGAAGTCTGCCCGGACAAGGAGATTCTGAAGAGACAGATTGCCATCTTCCGTGAAGTCAGTGAGGATGTTGCTCAGCGCTTAGAAAAATCAACAGGCATTAAGGGCTATGACGGGATTAAGAACATGAGGTTTAATGGTACTCATAATGGCATGAGTTCGGATCCTGCCATTAGGCAGGCCAACGGTGTCAAGGCTACGACATTCAGCAACAATACCAATGGAGCACCGACCCTAGGCTCGCATGACAGCATCCCCAATGGTGTCACGAATGGTGCATAGAGATTCTAGTGGTCGAGGGGAACTGTATCTGGTTATGAGGTGCCTTGAAATGGCAACCATTATGTGGTGTAACGACGAGATATTGTTTAGTTTGCTCCACTCAGAGAATTTACATATCCACCATCTCATTTCATCCCCCCTCCCCCCGCACCCCTTTCTTTGGCTTTTTGTTCATCAAGTCCCCGTGAACGAAGGTGCGGTGTAAGGAGCAAAAACAATCGACAGTTAGGATTCCCACCTGGTCACCCGCGGTGGTACTCGCTAACCGGCATATGGCTTAAGTACGGCTGAACGGACGGGAAGCCCTGTATTCCATATCCTATGGTCGATTGCGAGGGACAATTCGCTGTATTCAGTATATCTATCTCCATGTGTTTCCCTCCTTCAGTCTTCTGAGTCCGCACAGCTCAAGGTACAGCTGCGCGGATATCAGTCCTCAAGTAGATTGCCAACAAGGTCTATTTCTACTTAATTACCAGGCTGTCATGGACATCTACAGTATTCACGGGAGATGCTGATCGTGGTAGAGATCACGCCAGCCACAGGGGTGTGTCTACCATTGCTATTGGGACGTCTTTTGCGTGAGGATGGTTTCTACGGTAGGCAAGGCTCGATCCTCTTCAGGAGGAAAAGAAAGGGGCCAGTCTGACACAGAGCATACAAGTACAGCCCCACCCCCTCGAAAATTTAGGGATTTCCCATACAGCGATAAGGCGGCCGCCAGTTCAAAGATAGCTAATATCATCACGTTAAGGATAGGGATGTCATCATGTCCAAGGAGGTTACCCTTGAGTCAATAGCGAGTCGCTCCTCGTTGCTATTTCTCGTCAGACCTATTTTTGCCAAATATGGATGCAGACTGTCGGCAGAGTTGCCTTATAGAACTTGTGACCTCAACCCGCATCCAGGATAAACTGCGGACAAGATGAAGCCCATCTCAAGCTCAATCACACTCATGAGATGCTCGCCCACCAGGGTTTGAGGGGAGACGACAAATATCTTGCCTGCTGAGCTTGATGTGAACTCAGCCTCCTCCACTTGCCAGTGAAGTGGTGCGACACGCGTCTGAGATATCCCCAGACCGTGTCGTCTGTTGTTGCGGCGCGCTCTGCTAGGTAAATGAGACTATAAGAAGTCAGTCTCCGACAAACCATGGCGACACCGACGAAATCCCAGAACATCTCCACGCCGAAACCGCAGCTCTCCCCTCCAAGTAGGCTCATGGCCTCGCCTCGACCTGGTACCTCGGGCAATTCGAATCGTCCTCTCGCCTACAAGTCTCCCGCAGTCAAGACTCCAGCCTCAGCGCACGGACACCATATCAGTGTCTCCTCACAACCTTCTTCTACACCCCTGGCCGCAACAGCCGTTCACGATGACCTGCTAGCTCTCAATTCCCCTGCTGCCGCTCTGATGAACGCCTTGGGGACTACAGGACTTACACCTTTGGGAAGTGGAGCAGATGGCTTGGGTATCACCTCGAGTCTGTCGGGCGGACCTGTCAGATCTGCCCCTCCTGTCAACCCGTTGCTCGAACGACTTGCTAGAGCGGAGCTGGTTTTGAATTCACTCAAGAGTCGGGCTGCCGGACACGGAATCACTCGTGGAGGGGTGGAGAGAATAGGACAGTTACAAGGGTTCACCACTCTATGGGACGATGACAGCCTCACAATTGCGGGAAACTGTGTTGACCTTGAGATCAACTTCGAAGCTGGAGGCAGGGACGACGTCAGGGACGTGAGTCTCAAGCTCAACATGTCAGACAGCGCCTCCGAAAACGAGGAGCCTCAATTCCAAGAACAAGGCACCCAGATTATTAAGGGTAATCTGCAAAGTCTGGACGCTGTCGGCCAAATACCGCGATGGAGATCATTGGATGCCTTTGCATCCAATCTACAATACCTCAGCCAACTCGATAGAATCGAGAGCGGGGCCCCCTGCTTCAACGCTGTGACCGATCTCTATAATTCATTCCGAATGATCTGGGATGCTGAAAGAGAAAAATTCAAAGGACGGACTCCTAGGCAACATCTGAAACAGGGCGCAGTTGGTAGACCGGTCATGGATCGAAAACCCTGGTTGGGACTAGCAGTGGACTACTGGGCCACCCCCGAGGAACCAAGGCCAAAACCTGAGGCTGCCGCCAATGGTGAGGTTGACAATACCCATCATCTCTACACCGCACGGGTGTCTTGCGGGTCTGGTTTACCAATGACCGCCGTCACGAAGCAATGGGTCTCTGACCGAGTTCTCGTCGAGGGCCACGAGCCAATACTCGATGTCGAAAACGAGACATGGAAGCCGGACTGGCGAGACCCTGCACAGGATTCGTCAGGCTCAGATCCGTTAGCCAAGGCAGAGGCAGATAATGCAGCCACAGAGAAGCCGACTGACATGGTGTCACGCGTTTTGAATATGCATTTTCAATGTACCCTTGAACCCGAAGTTTACCTTCCTCTCAACGTAGCGGGCAATCTGAGCGTGGAGATTGCTATGGTGGAGATCAAGCAAGAGCTGACTTCAACATATCAAGCGGTGCTGCATAAGACCTTCGTCGGTGCCGGCGCTGAAGGCAACAGAAACCCTTCACAAGAAAGATGGATTAGAGTCTTGCCCATTGAAGATGACAAAGGCTCTGGCCGGCTGCGACGGCACTCATACGCCCTGAAATCCTCCCAGCATGCCCCACCCCTGTGGTGTCATCCTTTGAAACAACTGATATTCACCCATCCGAAACAATTTGCGGCCGTGGTGCCTGTTATTCGACAGTATGCCGTCGTTTGGGGTATTTTGCGCAGTTTGGTAGAGTCCCAGGGCGACAATCAACAGATGGGCGCATCAAGCAAGGTCCCTTCCAAGGGCAACTGGAGTTCAGAAACCACTCGCCGCCCCTTGAAGCGAACAAACAAGAAGTCTCCCGGCTCTGACCTCGATGACTTCGACAACCTCGCTAATTCGCATAGTGAGCTGGATCCCGATTTGCCGTTGCCGATCGACGTGAACATGGATGTGCTTTCCGACATCTCAAAAGCAAAGCTTGATGTATACATTCCCTTGCGCAAGTCGAATAGGAGAGAGCAAAAGCACCCATTTGTCTTCTTGTCCCTCAACATCTGCCCGGGTGGAGCAATCGAAGTCCGAGACTTGCGCGGAATCCACGCAGAAGGCACCGAGAGTGAAAGCATTCGGTCCAAAATTGTACGAATTTTGGAGACGACGGAAGATATTGGCTTGCTAGTTGAATGGCTTCTCGAACAGAATGTCGCACGCAGGTGATAACTTCTGAAGCTGGCGGGCCAGGTCCGCAACTCGAATATCTCAGCTTATTTGCATTGAGCAGAAACGACTTCCTCTCGCCACAAATTGATGCTATCTTGAGCGCCAGCTCCTGCGGTTGATGACATTTTGCTAAGGCGAAGGATGCTCAGTATTCACCTTGTCACCTCGTCCGTATTTTCCGCGCAGTCAAGACCGCGGAGCTAATATACAGACCAAGGAGAGGATCCATCGCTATGGCCGCTGGGAAATGCCTTAATCTACCAGCGATAGGTCAGCAGGGCAATGTGTGACATTCCCCGGACACGGGTGCAGCCTTGTGATCAAATGCACCGGGCGGGTATTGAAGGCGCTTGTCGCTGTGAAAGATGGCATATGTTGCAGAACAGAATGCTCTGCTTCATTCATCCGCTTTTTGAGAAGTGTAGAGTGTCTACATCGAAGCCGACAGGTAGATACTCCCGTTTCACATCTGCATCGGGAATATGGGCATGTTCGGACGACTGCTGGCTGAGACGCAGCTCAGCATGACAAGGAACAGCATCCCGTCAACGCGAAAGCCCATAGATCCCAGTTTGAAGAGATCAGAAAGCGAGCCTCTGTCGTGGTAGTAGGGATGCCATTCGCCTGAATAGGAAGGTTCAGAGAATCTCAAGGAGGCTTTGATGCCATCATCTTCTTTTCCACTAACTCGACAGGGTCAAGCTGCGGGATTTTAAGTGTAGAGGACCCTGGCAAGCCTTTTACGAGTATGCACCAGTCAGAGATAATAGCACCAAGTACTTGTCCCATGTGTTTGTCTGCGCTGCGGGGGCAAGGAGGTTAGTTCAAGCCGACCAGCCCCGCAGATTAATGACAATCATATATGCAGTTCCTGGTTCCGAGCACGAGTATGTCAGCACACATTTAAGGGCCACCAGGACTCTCCCTGACCATTAGTGATCAAATCTCAAGGCCATAGTCGACGGCGCGTATAATTAAACCCACCAATTTCTTGCCTCTTTAGACCTGCTACGATATCAGGCAAGTAAAATTTGTCGTTACAGGTTTCTGCTCTGCTCTGGTCTGGACACCGTCGACGTCAACTACGACGAGTATATGTATATCTAGGACGATCTTCTCACTGCCACCTTCTTCTCCCGACATCCAAATCTCGAAGTGTCTCGTCAGCTGCCGAACTGGCGTTCCGATCTATTCCACGTATACAATTGACCCGCAATCATCTTTCGCCTGGATCACTTGCCAATTCAACCAGAACAATGTCCGAGTAAGCAAAGCACACTTCCCCGTGGATCATGCAATCTCTAAGACATTCGCAGTCTCGCAGCACTTGGCTCCAAACTCTTCAGTGCCAACCCAGAATCCCGCCCGAAGATTGTGGGCACTGAGAAGCGCGTCAGAGGAGTCCTCAATGGCAAATACATCTTCGACACAACTGCCGCCAAATTAGTGTGGGAGAACGGGTTTTATCCCATGTACTGGATCCCCAAGTCCGACTTCCTCGACAGCGCCAGGTTCACAGATGACAAACCGATTTCTGGCATAGACTCGTCGACCTCGACGTTGAGCGTCGGCACCAAATCCGTGCCGTCGCTCATTGTTCCCGACTCGTTCAACTCCGAGCTGGTGGGCTACGTGAAGATCGACTTCAAGGCCCTCGATGCGTGGTACGAGGAGCAAGTCCAGGTAGTCTATCACCCCAAAGACCCGTATCACAGAGTCGACATCCTCCCCTCGGGGCGACACGTGCGCGTCGAAATCGACGGAGTATGTCTCGCCGACACGGGCTCCGAAGGCGGCGTCATGTCGCTCTGGGAGACCAACTTCCCCGCCCGCTGGTACCTGCCTCGCACGGCGATCAAATGGGAGCATCTCACGCCGAGCGAAACGCACACGGGATGTCCATACAAAGGCGAAGCCAGCTACTACAACGCCGTGATCAACGGCAAGGAAATCAAGGACGTGGCGTGGTGGTACAAAAACCCGACCCAGGAGAGTGCCGGCATCCTCGGCATGCTGTGTTTCTACCCGAATAAAGTTGATACCTGGGTCGACGGGAAAGAAATTGCAAAGATTGGAATGCCCACCAAAAAGTAGTGGGGAAACCGGAGGAGATGAGGAGATGGTGAAAAGCTGCAACTATCGAATCGGATCTTGAAATGACGGGTGCAAAATGTTCCAGGAAGGAGATCATTATTGGATATCTTTAATGAAATGCGTTTTATTCTGCTGTCTCGATCGATCAATTTATGTACGTGGAAGGAGAAAGCGTCCTGATACTGGTGAAGCACGGTTGTGATGCCGAAGCGTAAGGCTGGACTTTGGCCTTAAACTCCTGGCTATAAAGTACATGTGTCGGCTTCCCGACGTCATTGAAGCCCGCGTCCAAGCTCCTCCGCCAAAATAATTTTTGTAGAGCGTCATGTACCCAACATCAGCACCACTTCGTATGTCCTGGGGTTGCCTAGAAAGTAACCACGGTCCACCATGAATCTGGCAACAGGAACGCGGACGCTGTGGCGAGCACCGCGACTATTTGTTCAGCTGCGGACTGTCTCGACGTTGTCCAATAACCCTCATATAGTAAGGTCTACGTATCCCCATACAGCTCACCCGCTACAGAAACTAACTCGAGTTATTGCGCAGTATGTTTTTAAAGATCCTCAAAACCCTATCGCCCATATCCTGTCTCTCCTCCCCACAGACCCTCCGACTCGGTCACTAGCCATTGGCACTACCTCCCAACTCCCACCTACGCCGCGATCGTTCACCGAGAACCCCAAGTTCCTCCCTATTCTGCACTCAGTGATTAGCGAGAATGCCGCTTCCGACCCGGAGGTCCAGTCCCAAGCTGCGGTGATGATATCTTCATCTGGATCCTCATTCTTACACACGGCTCGCCGCCAACAGACGGGCTCTTCAGGTGCCAGCGACCAGGGCGGCCATGGCAGCGCAGGTCGGGGAGGCTGGTTGCACGTCTCCGACCAGCGGCGCATCCCGGATTTTGGACGCATCGCAGAGCCAGAAGATATCTTTGGCAGTGTGGAGGTCGATGGTCACGGAAAATTCGTTGATGGTCATGGGGGGTATCAGCCCAGTGGAACGTATCGGATATGCACGAATGATGGGATTCTGGGCCTGACGGATTTCATGAGGCAGAAGTTGGTCGAGAGGCTGAAGGTGCAAGAGGCGGCGGAGAAGAACAAGCAGTGACGAGCTATTGACAGGACTCTACACAGACTTAAAGGGTCAAAGTGTGAAGAAAAACACCCATTTGGATCGTGGGAAACAGCCGTGACTCGAGTTATACGGACAGACCTCATACTCCAGAGGCGCGGACTCATATCCATGAGCTGTAATTCTCATGGAATGGCAGAACCACAGCGGTCGTCAAAGCTCTACCTATCGAGACGACTAAAACCGCGCCATTACACACCTTGACACACCACAGCTCGCACTCATGTTGGGTCCCGTTCGCCACGAGATTAGGGGTCAGCTCGGCCGAAGGATCCCTCAGACATTGGATATCCTGTCTCTCTCTGAGAACATCAATGGTCCGCAAAAGCTCCAGGGATAGAGCTTTACTCCCACAAAGATAGGGTTACGAGATGGGATGATGTATCTCAAACGTTGTACGAGGTCGACATCAACCCCAAACTAGAAGATGCAGAAGACTCGAGCATCCGAAGCCTCTTTGTATCGTCGCAGCGGATATGATGGCCGGGATCTTTGTACTAGGTTGATGATCATGTACATGGATCACGATCAGATTATGTAACAACAGCGTGATGGGAGCTGTGCTACAGGGGCGCAAACAGAGTGAGGCATGCTTATGCCGTGGTACCCAATGAGGGCAATATACAGACAGTGGCATGGCAATGATGACCACAACTTGAGAAATATAATTTCTGCCCCTCCATGCGTGTTGTTCCCTTGTGACACTCCCAAACAAAAGTCTGAAGGAACCTCTGGTAGGCTGAAAGCCAAGTCTGATTGTCCCGTTGGTCGAGAGGGAAGGCTCCTTCTTATGCATGCGGGTCATGGCTGGTACCCAATCAGACCAAGTCCGAATGGTGGAAGGAACAATCGTCATTGGTGGATCCGCGTGACCGAGTTAGCGCTAGTCGTACTTAAATATGCAAGTCCAGTGCGGGGTATCAACTCTCTCTCTCTTGTCCGTGCAACTTGGTTTTGGTCGCTGCCTGGACCTCAGACCATCAGCCTTGTTCTTCACGCTCACTTCTCTGTCCCCTCTATTCTGCTCTCTCACTAACCTACCAAGTATCCTATCGTCCTATGTCCTTTCTGCTATTTCAGAGATAGCCACGCAACACAGCCTCCTCGCTTCGTCATGGCTCATCTCGATCTCCCGGCCTTTGGCATCCGCGACCTCAACGGCCCCAAATCACCACCAGGTATCGTTCAGATTACCGCTTCCCAGTACGACAGCACTGTTCATAGTGAACCTGATGCCGTGCTGTCCTACATCGACCTCGACGATGGTGAGCTCATCACTGTCGGAAGTTCCTTTGAGCTGCAACAACGCCTAGAAGAGCCTATACCTCCTTCGGTCTCTCCTACCCCCTCCCTTATTCTAGGCAAGGCCCCTGCGAAAACTGCAAGAGAAGCCAAGGAAAACACGCTCGTGCATATCTTTGACATCCGGCATACGACTGGGAGTGTGGCAGTGTGGAGAGAACATGAAGCACATACCAGTCGGAAACTGCGACCTCGAGCGTCATCGTCGTCATCACATTCAAGTACAAGAGTTTCCCTTCTACATAGAGCATCTTCACCAGAGTCCAACTCCATGTTCCCTCTTCATTATGACAAGGTGTTCGACCCGGAAAGGGTTAACAAAAGTTCTCCTGGACCACCTCAATCAGCGCAGCCCACGGACACTGCCACGGTCAATGAGGGGGCAAGTCATCGCCCTTCAGCAGCACACCCAGTTATCTCTGGTGAAGGGGATACACCGATGCAGAAGGATAAGGCCCCTGTCAATGCCTTCACCCGTCTTGAATCTCACTTGGGCCCTCTAGCCGACTTTCTCGAGTCCACAGCAGACGGACTACGAAAGCTTGCAGAAACAACGGAAGAGGCCGACACGACCCCTGTAGAGAATGTTTTGTCCGGATTCAAGAAAATTCTGAAAGAGGCCGGGGAATTCGGCCTTGATCTTTTGGCCACACTTGTGGACGAGGAACTACAAAAGAACAGAAGCAATGGGGTCAACGCTCCCAATGGAGCCAACACTGACTCAAACCCCCAGCAACCCTCCTGCCTCTTCAGTGCCACCGAAGAAACCGGGGAGGAAGACAAGCGGGGGCCTCATGCTGAGACGCCTGAGAAAAGAGTCAGCTTCGTCGAGCCAACACCCTCAGAACCTCTTCAGATGGTGAAGGAGCTTGTGGTGCCTAAAGGCCTCAGCCTCTACCGCACATCTTCAGAGGTTCAGACGCCAAGCCTGCCTTTATCTGAACGCTCGACCAACATCCAACAGCCCCCTCAGCTCAGTCTCCCTTCCAAACCGAAATTTCTGTTTCCACCCTTGTCAGCTCGTTACACGACTGCAGATCCTGCTCCTCCTACAGACAATTCCATTCTTGACTCCCCGCCATCCGAGTCCGATTTTCTGACCCGATATCCACCATTATCGTCTCTTCGAAAATCCGTCAGTGTGAGCGGTTTGCAAAGCACGCCTGCATCGTCTAGCCATTATCAACATAGCTTGAGCACTATGTCGGTTTTGGCTCGCTATCCCAGTATTGAACAATTGGAAGAGAAATCCCCTGCGAACCTTCAACCCGCTCCCAACTCGAAGCAAAGCTTCAGCCACTTGGTTTCTCCGACTTGGCCCCCGGTGCAGCCGGCTCCCAAGAAGACCGATATCTACAAAAAACCCACAGTTGAAGATGAAGACGAGCATGTCCGTTCCCTACTAGCAGATCTAGGAGAGAGAGAAAAGGCTCCTGGCGTACAGGGTGCCCCTAAGTGGCCTACCGTTCCACTGCCTGGTGCCTGGCCTGAGCCAAAGCTCGAGCAACAGCCTGAGCCAAAGCGTGAAGAACAAAAGAATAAAGAGTCTGCCACCACAGCCGATGATAGTGCGGTGTCCAAAGATCTTCCTCGGTGGCTACAACAGGAAAGTCGAGGCTCATTTAGTGGTGGTCTTTCACAACAGTATCCCGATGACATGATTTATTCTCGAGGATCGATCTTTCCACGAAAGTCTCAGACAGTCAGTGGCACCAATCCTGCGGCGAGACTCAATGGACCGTTTGATCCTCTCGCACACATTCCCGTCCTGCAACCACGTCCCCAACGATCACAGCCAGACCTGTCTGCATCCAAGGTGGGCTTTCTGAATACTAGAGTCAACCCAGCAATGCCCGGTTTCGCACCACAACGGAGTCAGACCCTTCATCATACTGATCGTTACAAGCCACGTGATGCTGTTCCGTACCAGAACCCGCGGTTGAGCTCATGGGAGAACTATCTCAAGAACAATCGCAGCACAACCGCGACTTCCAGCTTGCCCTATTATCCCTTGCTGAACCCCTTCTCTGATTGGCCAACCTCTCGATTCCAGCCGACCTCTACGTTCAGTCGTCCGGTGCCCCCTGCGACAAGACCACCTGTTGTCTCGGCTCCGAGGCCACCACGGCCTTTCAATAGGACGCTGCCAAGTTCTGGCCCGCACATGTATTCGCTCACCAGCGGATCACCGCCCTCACAAGCACAGCTGCCTCAGGCTTCTCGACCAGAAATTAATAGGGGCGGACCACCAAAAGCCGACGGGCTCTCCATCCCGTCACCCCCGACACTACCTGCTCCACCGCCAGCTGCCGTGCTCTTCCCACCGACATCAAACAGCAGTTCCATCCCTCGCTCTTCATCGATTCTTTCTCCTTGTCCACCTCCGCTCACTCGTCCTCGCGGTCGCTCGGGTGTCTCTCCTCCAGCGCCTTTTTCAAGCAAAAGCGTCGACGACTGTGTCAAAGTGCTGAAAGCTATGGGCTTCGGTGAAGATGACCCGAATGAGCTGGCCCGCTTGAATATCTATGCAGGGGCCGCCGCAGGAGATGTCCTTTTAGCGATCGAGTTGATCGAAGAAGATCGTGAAGCTGCCAAAGAGCTTGCGAAGGGAGAGCACATTGAGATCAGCAAGGAGACACGGAAGGAGGTCGATGTGGAAGAGAATCCCTGGGAAGATTAGATCAGGGGCGTCATGTCGGATATCGAAGCCAGGGCTCTGGGGGCGATGGTATATCTCGTAACGTAAATGCGAGCGCCATGTGGAAATGCGAGCCAGTCGGGTTTTAGTGATTCCAAACCTGGCCGGATTCCTGGGTGCTTGGGTACCTGGCGCTTGATGGAGCGGACGGTATGAAACTACGATCGAATGGACTACTTTGCATTCCCTTTTTCCGGGTGGATACTCGGATAGACACTGACGACAACCACACTTTTAAAAGTTACGATGGAGTTGATGGACTAGGTAGGCAGGTATCGGTTCATACTTTTCTCAATACCTATAGCTACGTACGAGTTACGGAGGTATCTGCTTGACCTACTACATGTGCATATCTTGCTTATCTACAGGACGTGTGTGCGCAGTGTATTTCCTCCTGGGGGTCTCCCAATACTCCCGAGGCTGCGGCTGTTTATGTATCTACTTGTCTGCACGTCTCTTCCCTGTGGCGACGGGTTATGCATTAACAGTAGCAGTAGCATTTAAACCACGGCATGGTATGGTATAGCATAGCTATCACCAGCCCTTAGTAGACTAAGAGACAGATATAGAGAGAGGGAGGGAGGAGAGACAGGAAGGATACGCGTAGCTTTGATCATTGCAGAGAGTAAGTGTAGTCAGGCTGTCAATTAGACTTCTTTTGCATGCTTCGAATACCTGGCTCTAGAGGAAGCATAGAGTGGGCGAGCTCAGGACCAAGGGATTGGAGGTTGCGGACACGGTGGGGAAGAACAGCGCAGAAGAGAAGAGACCGGGAATGTTACCCAACATGCACATGGTGCTCTCATTTCGCTAGTGTTTCGGGCCATCAAAAGTCCTTTGACGGACATGTGAATCACTCTTCTCTCTCGGAGTCGGAAAAATCAATGAAGAGCCGCGTCGAGAATCCTCCTCCTGCCGTCGTCGCTGAAACTGGTGGCGACGCCTTCCTGGTCCGTCATGACGTTCATTTCGGCGTCGACGGCCGCTTCGTACGCCTTGAGCACGTTGTCCTCGTCGACCCTGACACCGTCCTCCGCCAGGATCTTGATGCATTCGGAGATGCGTGCGATTTCTCGGCGGGTGCCTTCGCCGATGTCGTCGTTCTGGCTCGAGTAGATGGCGCTGCTGACCACGTCGTCGAGGTTCGAGATGCTCACGCCGCCGCTCATCCTGCCCTGGTCTTCGGCTTGTTCCATGTGCTTGCTCAGCCAGATGTAGCCATTCACTCCGAGGATGACGTTGACGTCTCCGCCACCTTGGGCGCCGCTGTTGATCGTGAAGACCTGTCTTCGACTCCGGACCACGCCGCCCCCGCCGCCAGTCCCGGTCACGGCAAGGAACATTCCGTTTCGCAGCTTGCCGTACTTCAGACTTCGGGTGTGTAGATTCGCTGTCCCATCACTGCTCCTCAGCTGTTGGACTTCTGCCACCACCAAGTCCCCCTCCTGGAAGTAATTGCGCATCTGGAGTTCATCTGCGGTTGTACGTCGCCTCAACACTCCACCGGGCAGGTTGATGGATGACAAGGGTAATTGGGCTAGCAACGGCGCCGCCACGTCCACTTTCCACTGGTTCTTTTGGACTTCCACTACGCGGCCGACGACCAGATCCCCGATTTCCGGCGTATATCGTGCACGAAGGGGGGCTACTGAGAGTAACTTGTTTGTCTTTTTCAATGGGCCCGCGAGGGTCGCGATCATGGTGGTTGACTGCTCGGGCATGAAGGTGCCATGTCCCCTATATCTGGGTCAATAGACTGACTCTCAAATCCGCTTCGAGTTTTACCCAAGCCTACCTCATCCATTGTGTGTCGTCCGTAATCACCTCTCCTGGCAGGGTTATTTGTCGAGACGAAGAAGATAATCGGCGGCGCTTTGGCGGTCGGCCGCCATCTTCCTGCTCTGAGGCGTCGCTGGACTCGTCGTCGTCGCCATAGACGTCTGTTTGTATAGTCTCCTCCTCAGGCTCTGGTGGCAGAACAGCTAAACCCATGTCTGCGATTGGGCTTTACAAAGTACATTTCAAACACAACTTGGGGAAAATCGAAGAGCGGCGGATTGGAGACGCCGGAACAACTTCGGCTTCTCACGTGGTGATAAGTGTGGGGGCTTGGCATCCCTTATCGAAAATATGAGAAAACGTTCCGCTGAAGTCATCGTCGTCGAAACACTCCACGTCCCTCCCTTACGTGCCGACTTCGATTTAGATCAGATCTTGCCTGCAGAGTCGCGAACATGGTGCGACACAAGAAGGACGGCGCCTCGTCCAAGTCAAAAAAGTACTCTACCAGGTCGCGACATACCCCTCGCTCGGCACAAGGTGGCGAGGGCGATGGCGACGCTATCCCTGAACGCCCACCTTTCAAGGCAGCGTGCTGGGACTTTGGACATTGCGACGCAAAGCGCTGCAGTGGAAAGAGGCTGATGCACTTTGGCATGATGCGCGAGCTAGCCGTGGGTCAAAAGTTTCCTGGTGTAGTCATCTCGTGAGCAAGGACTTCTTCCCCTTCTACCATCTCGTCGTGTTGACCAAATATCCAGCCCCAATGCAAAGCAGATCCTGTCACCGGCAGATCGAGATTTACTCGAACAGCACGGCGCCGCAGTAGTCGAGTGCTCATGGGTTAGGATACAGGAAATCCCGTTTTCGCGGATCGGAGGGAAATGCGAACGGCTTCTGCCCTATCTTGTCGCTGCCAACCCCGTCAATTATGGAAGGCCGTGGAGACTGAACTGCGTCGAAGCCCTCGCCGCGTGCTTTTGCATTTGCGGGCATGAGGACTGGGCTGAGATCATCTTACAGCACTTCCCCTATGGTAAACCGTTTCTCGAGATCAACTCCCAGCTCTTCAAGCGGTACGCCGCGTGTCAGAATGAAGAGGAGATCAAGAAGGCCGAAGAAAAGTGGCTCGCCAAGCTGGAAAAAGAGTACGCTGACAGTCGCCTCAACAAAGATGCTGCTGGTGGGGAAGATGTCTGGGCTGGTGGGAACATGAATAGGAGAGAAGTATACGACTCCGACGACGAAGATGCTGAAGAAGATGAAGACTCCGATCCAGACGCAGATAATGAGCATGTCGGCCTACAGCAAGGTGTATCACTGGATCTGCCCCCTGACGAGGAAGACGAGGATGAAGAGGCCGAGATGGCTGAAATCCGCCGCAAGATCCTTGCCTCTAAACCGTTTACCGAGAGCTTCCCCTCAGAACCACCCAAAAAGAAGATCCAGCAGTCGAATACCGAGGAAATCAGTGATAACGGTGCCACGGCTCATCCGTCGACAGAACAGTCCCAGCAGTTGGTCGATTCTGACGCAGAATCAGGTTCTGCCGAGGAAGACTACGACGACTTTGACCAGATTGCAAGTGCGACGCCAGTGACGGATCGGACGGGAATAGTGGCGCGCGAAAGACAGAAAAAGCTCGAACAAGCAAGTGCCTCGTTTTCTCGGACATCGCTTTCTGCCCCGAAAAGGTGGTAGCACCGTAACGTCCTGTTATATCGGTTCTAGGTTGAGTCTGTTGCGAGGCTTTGGAAAGCCTGCATCAATGCAACAGCGACCAGGACACGGCTTTGTCCATGAAGTGGACCTCCACCGTTCCTTCACCGTTGGTTCTCCGAGCGCGGTTCAAAGGCGCATATCTACGATCGAGGAGAATGAAAGAAGCACATGCCAGGAGCGGGGACGATCGAAAACATCGAGCAGGATCGTTTGTCTGAATAGATATCGATTCTTCGTACCTGTGGGGCTTTACAATATACGGATGTCTCCAAACACCAAGTCCGTGACACCTGCATATGATTTGAATGGACATTTTGTTCTTGGTGGGCATCGGAAAATACAATATTGCCGGAGCAAGGATCGTCAAAACTCCACCAGCGAATTCAGCCTTCTCCCGCTCTGCCACATATACGCCCAGGCGATAGGCGCAGATCTTGCTGAAAATCATACAAGTCTCCAGAGCCGAATCTGCACAACAGTACCTGGAGAGGTCACGTGTAATCAGAGGGCGGATGACTTTTCCCACCGATGAAACAGGGTCCGATTTCCTCAATGCAGATGTCGAGGGAACTTTGGTGGGTCAAGGATTTTCCGACACTACAAGTACCATCTTGGATCAGTAACGCCACCGGTTGTCTTTTCCGGTCTCACAGGTGCTTTACCTCGACCATCGGCTCCCAGTGACCAGGTGCACTGATATCTCACATTAATGAACGGCAGATGGACAGAAATCGCCTCTGTCTTTACGCAGGGTCTATTGGTGTGTATGCATGCATGCATGTATGCCGCGACACCGCCTTACAAGCTCGCACGATCCGTCCACAGGATGGAATTTGTCATTTGAAGCTCAAAGACTCCGTCTAGTGTGGCCACCAGAAGTCTCACTTTCCAAAGTGAGGTGCGTTAGTCTCGCTAGGCTGCATAAGCGAAGATGTTTCAGACTCCATGCAGATGCAATGATTGCTCCCAATAATACGAGGAGGCGACCATCTGACCAGCCCTTCTCCCGCAGGGTTCAAGCTGGAGCAGCATCTCTGATCCAACAAAGTTTGTCCAAGAGATGCATCTCCTCAAGCCTAGCCATATGCCAAGGACTTTTGTCTTTCTCTATGCGACTGGAGCTTCTCCGCTTGCTTTGGCTCCATATTAGGCATAGAAGATTGCGTCGTGGGCATGGGGAAATCTGCCTCACATCCCCACAACCTTTCTAGTGACACTGGAAGGACCAGGTTGCCGACCCACTCGAGAGGAGGGGATGCCTCTTCAGACGTGTCGAGAGAGCCTCGGACCATTCAACCGGTAGAACTCGACCGGTGCTAGACCCTTGCTCTGAACCTCGCAAAAGGCGAAACCCCAAAGCCAAAACTTGTGAAGACCTTCCCAAATGAATCCTTATCCGCAGCGGGAGCGAGTTTGCAAACAATGGAGACAATGACGAAGTCGTTAGGTCCCAAGGAGTTGCGGTGTTCTCCTGCAGTAGTAGTTGTCGCTTCTCGACTCACTTGAGCTATCACGAATTATTGGCTTTAGATATAGACACACAACTTGATTTCATTCTATTTTCCACTCGTTACAGCCCAATCAATGAATGGTACGGGGCAACTTTTCTGCATGCTGTTCGCACGACAAGAGAACGTCCTCCCAGGGAAGAAATCGTAGCTCTTAATCCAAGAGATAGAATAGCCAGCCCATGGCCTCCCAACCTTTTTCCTCAATTACAACTTTTAGAACGAGTTGGTAACAGGCCGTCCCATAGTGTCCCAGTCCCCATAGCATCATAATGACCCAGCACGAGTAGTGCGAGTGAGTACCCACCCAGTTGAGGCTTGCAGACAAAAACCATCTCGGAGAACAAAAACAAAAAGGGGCAAATGGAGGAATAAGTCGCCAATCATCCAGTCGCAGCCGACTGCTGCGCCGCAACTACAGACCCGGCCCACGGGGACAGATAGTTATCAAACACGAGATCGTGCGACGGGTGGTGAGGGTGTCCGTACGCGATATGCGGCAAAGCGGGCATGCCCGGCACGTCGGTGGATGATGACGACAAAGGCTGGCCGTAAAGGTGGGATGGTTGTGGTGGTGGTTGTGGTGACGGAGAGGTACAGAGACTCATGTCGACAAAGGCGTCGACTTCCAGGCGCGGTTCCATGAACTGGTCCTGGAAGAAGGGCTCGTCGTCGTGGGTGTCGTGGGCGGCGTGGGACGGCGCCCGTTTTGTCAAGGCTGCGCATCTGCCCGTGGGAGACAGCGACGAGGCAAATTCAAACTGGGTCTTCATGTCCATCTCTTGCGCGGTCCTCCTCCTCGTCGTCGTCGTCGTCGTCACCGCCGGTCCCGTCGACGATGGCGAGCTGCTGGACGTAGATGCGATCGATGTGGCGGAGTGCTTGTCGACGTCCTCGACAGAGTCGCGAGTGTTTGTGTTCGTGGTCTGTGCTCGCGTCTGCACCATCACCATCGGCGTTTTGTTACTGAACAGCCGTGTCGTCGACTGTTCGGCCTCGCTTAGAAAGTTTGACTCGTCGAGGTTGGGGGTCAACAGGCCCAGTCCCTGCAGGATGTCGGTGGTCGAGACCCCTCCTCCTTTCGACTCGTCGGGAATATCTCCCGGGAAGCCGGTCCTTCTGCGACAGGCCCAATATAGTCGTTGCAGGGCCGCATCGGTGACTTCTCGCATCTGGAAGTAACTAAGGACTTATCAGCCACCACTGCCCCCAAATGGCTCGACATGTGACGCGGATTGGCTCTCTTACTAGTTTCTCGCCTCTCGCCGTCTGGCAGAGTATACACACGGGCTGTCGGTGGCTCGGCAGAGTTTGCATGCTTGGTCTCCGTCACACTGTTGGAGGGTTAGTGAGGTAGTCCAACAACACACAAATTTGGGGGCGGGAATGGACTGACCTTTGCCTTCTTGACCCTGCATCGATCACATCTGCACTCAAATCAGCTTCTGTTTTTTTTTTTTTTTCGAAGTTCCAGATATCAAAAGGAGCAGTGTACTGTAGTGTAAACACTGATGAGAAAAAGACTTACGCTCGAGAAGTCCTGCCTCGAGGAGTCTTTCTCTCTGATTTGGACGTCGTCTTCGTGTTGCCACCCTCCTTCGGCGCCGGTTTCAGGGTCTTCATGGTTTTGTGTTTTTAAGACGTGGATTCTGTTGTTGTTGTTGTTATGCAGACTAAAGCCCCATGCTCGAGAGCCCCCCAAACGTTGTTGGGCGCAGCAGGGTCGGGCCTTATAATGTACAAACAAGTCCCAGCTAATCGTGTGGGCTAGCGCAATGGGAGAACCAAGATTTCGGACACCATGACGCGTTTTCGCGCGTTGGGCAATTCTGCCCAGAGATACGCCGCAAATTTCAACGCCGGGCGCATTTGGTTGGTACGCAGCCACAGGCAGGCACGTTTCGACTAGGATGTTGCCTCGGAGTAATGGTGCTATCATCACACTTCCACATCTGGCCTTTTTTGAACGGTGACCCCAGGCCTGGTCCTAATAGGTTCCTGAAGGCTCGCCACTTGAGCCACGGAAGTTTAAATGCTCTGCTGCGGGGTGACGTAGAGTGGTCCTTGGTAAGACTTTGATACTGGACCCCTCAGAAGGAACGGACAAGGTAAGCCGTAATAGCCGTGGAGCTCCATTGTTCGAAGACATGTCAGATTCCCTGGCAGGATCTGCGTTTTCTAGTCCTCAGATTTCTGCTGTCCTTGCCTGTTCCGACCAAGGCAATCCGACGAGATGCTCGTTCAGGATGTTCCGCTCCTTTGCGCTGTTGGTCTGAATTGAGTGGCGGGGTGGATACCGTACAAGAAAGTGACCAATGATTATGCATCTTGGAGTCGGGGAGAATGGAATTTGTTCTCGGGTGGGGCAACTGCGGGGTTTTCCGCCTTTGCCCCATTTCCAATCCCATGTTGTCCATGTTGAAAAATATCTTGACATTTATCTTTGTGCATTGAAAACACGTATGGGAGACGTGACAGAACTTTGGAGATATCAAATCATGGCAGTCTTCACTGATCGGTCCTCATCGCGAGGAGCTATGTCGACCATATCGAGCCCAGGACTTTGAAGGAGAAAGAAACGAGCTGCATTTCCGGTTCTGCTGCGCTCCATTGAGAGATGGCAGTCCCATGAGATTCCTTGTACCCTCGTTATGCCGCCAACTCAGTACATAACAGAGTTGCCCCCCTAGCTCACCGCGTAGATCTTTGCGTCTTCCAGGTAAGACCGGCTTTTGAGGGTGCGAGGGGAAGAATGTTGGGAGCTTCCTCCCCGAAGGGACGCTGTCGAGGGACGCTGTCGATCGCGGATGCTTTTTCCAGCCCTAGTCTTTGACGGACTCTGCCATACGCAACGGAAATGCTACTTCCTACGCCTTCGGTTGGGGTTTCCCATGGCTTTCACCCCTCTGTTTCTCCATAACTATGCCATGCCACACTCACGTCCTCATCGATACCACCCCCTCCCTGTGCACCCCGGCCCGTGGAGTGGTCGACGTCTACCACTCGGCCCTGCCGGAGAAAACTTCCTGCTTTATCAGGATATAGTCTCCATCCCATCCCTAGCACTACATCACCCTCCGGGTCACTGATCCGCCCCCCCATACCATGTGAGAGAAGGAAGCCTGTATCGGACAGTGACGAAAGTCGCAATGGGCATCTACATCATATCCCATTGACCAACCCCACCCATTGAGGCAGGACAAGGTATACAAGAAAGCTCGGAAACCATTCGTGGTTACACACATAAAGGGTCATATCAATTCTGTTTCGGCCATATCGATATCAGACGTGACACGATGACTTTGAACACCGATTTCACCACCTCGCCCGTCTTAGCGGATGACGCCAACATTTGGGAGTTTCCATTATCCTCTGATGTCCCCTACAACAACAGTTACAGCCACCAGTCGCCCGTTTTCAGCGACCATGAACTCTTCATCCAGCCGACAGAAACTCCTTCCCCCGGGCTGGTTGCTCAGAGACCGTCGCCTGAGTTTGTCCAGCCCCACGACCTTCATCCCCGGGGTCTTGAGGGGTCGACTTCGCCAGCGAGTCAAACTTCGCAACTGGGACGAACCAGTTCCATAGACTCGCCCGCTGGATCCATGTCACTGAGCCACCAACAGCTCCTTCGACGAATGTCCCTGGCCACAATCGACCTAAACGACGACTCTTACCGACCTAGAAATACCCCGGCGCGACGGAAGAAGAGCACAACTGGCCGCATCGCCCCTCGCTCGGAAAAGCACGCGCGCGAGCTGGAGCTGAATCGCAGAGCCGCAACAAAGTGCCGCAACCGTCAAAAAGTGTTTATCGAGCACCTCCAACAACGGTGCCGCAAGGAGGAAGAGAAGATGCAGATGCAGACCTCGCTCGTCTCAGCCCTGCACGACGAGGTCGTCGCGTTGAGAAACGAGGTCCTGCGCCAAAGCTTCTGCGACTGCCGCTTCTTGTCGGGCGCAAATTCGGCCTTGCACTCGTGACACGAGGGTCGCGGAAACTGTATAAGATTCCAAGAGGGCGGCACCTCACCACAACAACACGGTGGTCCGGGACAGCTGTGGGGTCTGTTGAAAGCGATAACTTACACCCCAGCTTCCCTCAACCGTCTTGAAGCTTGAAGCCATCGATTGAGAGCTATGCCCACGTTGGAGCATTCAATCACTGATCAGCCGAAGGAAGAATGGACTGCTGCCCGCACCAAGGACGAGTAGCAAGAGGCTGGACGAATTAACGCTACAACGAGTGAACGAACTTGGGGGAGGGTATATTGTTTCTGGGGACTAGGGAGGAAGCTATACACGGGCCTACCTCACGGAGCGAAAGGGCAGAGTGGTCGTGGAATTTTTCTTGTGCTTGTATTAGTTAAAGCGACGGGTTGGTTCACTGGAAAAGGGACGTTTGTCTTGTTTGTTGTTTTGTATACCTATCTAGCTATCTATATGTTATGCCACTATCGTCCGTCACAGCGTACACACATGGGATTCTATCCATACTCCACCATACCGTCCACCAACCTACCTACCAACCTATACCAGTAGTTTTCCCACAATGAGCTGGAATCTGACTCTCTACAAGCAAACTCCTCTCAAAGATCCTACTGTTTGCACCACGACCCGTCAAATCATGTCACTGACTATCCCTTTCAGGCAGGCAGGTCAAGGTCTTGCATGCAAGTTATTCAGACCATCCAGGCATCTGAGACATCCACACTCGAGAATAGCCAGAGTATAGGTATAGATATAGGTATAGTGATAGTTTGTGGTAATAGCACCGCGTATCCCGACGTGTCCCCGCGTCGCCCTGATAACCTGGACCGGGGACCCGTCGCCCCCTGCGCGGTGCACCGGAACGGTCTGCGACGAGCGGATTGGTCAACACGACACGACACGACACGACATGTCCGTCCTGTCTTGTCGTCATGACTCGCGTGGAGCGGAATGCGGGAATACCTAGGTAGGCACTGCATACTGCATAGTGCATACTTGTATTTTTGACCCCGTAACGCCAACGGGCGGTTTGGTTAAGGGTGGACACCCTTCAGATCATAGATCATGTATCCCAGATCCTAGGTCGTGGGCCCCTGCTAGGGATCGCAAACCTTGGGCGTTGGTCGGCTTGTGGTCCTGGTGGTTCTGCCTGTACAAGTAAGTGGGTTTCGGAGGACCCTGTTCGAACGCGGGATGCGGTGGATTGTGGGTCGTGTGGGCATGGAGAACTATATCTGTGTGTGGATGGATGGTCGGATGGTTGGCTGGAGGGAGGATGGATGATGGATGAAGGTTGGACGGCTCACTCTCATTCACAAACCTCTCTCCTTTCAGTTGAAAAACCACCAAAGAACATGGAAAGAATACCCATTCTATTCTTACTTCCTGATCCCGAATCAGCGTCTAGGCTTCGCATCCACCAGCACCAGCATCGTCTCGCTTTTCGGGACCCCTCAAAAGCAGGGATTTCTATCAGCTGATACACACACACACACACACACACACATACGAACACGAAGGCTTATTATTATATACAATCAACGATGCACGGAAGGTGGATGTTCCTTCCCCAGGTAACCTCCCCCGCCTACAGTCTCGGCGTGGCCTTCTCCTTCTTGGCCTCCTCCCTCAGGATGCGCTTCAGGATCTTGCCGCTCGCGTTCTTGGGGATCACGTCCACGAACCGCACCCCGCCGTCCAGCCGCTTGTACTTGGCCAGGCGCTCGGCGACCCAGTCGTAGACGTGCTGCTCGGTCAGGTTGGCGGGGGTGACGCCGGGTCTGCGCACGATATAGGCGCGAGGAGCTTCGCCGTCGAGTTCCGAGGCCGCGGGGATGCCGATGACGGCGGCGTCGACAATGTCCGGGTGGGTGAGTAGGACACCCTCGATTTCGGGTGGCGCCACCTGGAAGCCGCGCACCTTGATCAGCTCCTTCTTCCGGTCCACAATATACCACAGCTTGGTCTTGCTGTCGCAGTACATCATGTCGCCTGTGTGGTAGAACCCGTCGGCGTCAAACGACTCCTTGTTGGCCTGCGGGTTGTTGAAGTAGCCCTTGATCACGGTGGGGCCGCGCGCGCACATCTCTCCGACGACATCGTAGCCCGTGATGTCCTTCCCCTCGTCGTCGATCAACTTCAGGTCCATGCCTGGGATAACCCGGCCAACCGACCCCGTGTCGTCGTCCTCGGGCCACGGGAACTGTGTGAGGATGCACGTCGTCTCTGTCATGCCCCAGACCTGCGCGAACGGAGCACCTTCACCCAAGTACGGCTTGATCGCTGCCTGGGTCTCCTTGCTCAGGGGCGCCGCGCCGGCCAGGCCGTGGCGGATCGACTTTATCGAGTACTTCTTGATGAGCGGGGACATGGCAATGGCGACCGCCATGGCCGACACTATGTAGAATTCTGTGACCTTGAACTTGTCGATGTTGGCAAGGTATGACTCCAACTCGAACCGCCGCATGACGTACGCCCGCTCTCCGAGCTTCAATGTCGTGGTGTGACATCGGGGCGCGATGGCGGCGTGGAACATGGGGGTCGGATACAAGTTGACGGGCTCATATGGCTTGTTGTACATCGTCGGGCCGTAGCAGAACTCATGTTGAGCGATCAAGTTCCGGTGCGTGGTTATGGTGGCTTTGGGCAATCCCGTTGTCCCAGAGCTGGTCAGTCGAGCCGCCGTCGTGTTTGCACACGTGTCAAAGTCGTCGAAGCGCACCCAGTCCTCTTCACCGTGCTGCATCAAGTCCGTCCAGCTCGTAAACCCTTGCGGAACAGTCTGGTTGGACTGTGTGTTGAAAATGCGGACCTGCGACTGGGAGATCCCTGTATCCTTGGCTGCTCGCATCAGAGGTTCAAGCAGTTCCGGTTCACTAATGAGGAAAGTTGCCTGGGTGATGTTGACATGATGCCGCAACTCGAGAGGTGTGTAACCGGGATTCGAGCCAGCAAACACGGCACCCGCGCCGACGATGGCGAGAAAGAGTATCGGATAGTAAATGTCATTGAACGAGTGGACGAGGACACAGTCGCCCCTTTTCACACCAGCCTTGTGCAGACCGCAAATCAACTGACGAATGATCTTGCGTGCTTGCAGGTTGGAGATGGAGCGACTTGTGTTGTTTGCATCAATGAAGATCTGATAGTTCCTCTCGTCAGCAGAAGGTTCTGGGGCGAAGCTGCTTCCTCGTGAAAGTCTATACTTACTGGTTTGTTGACATCGTATGTGGGCTCATCGAAGATCCACGAGCAGATGTCTTTGTTTGTGATTTTGGGGACGGGCCCGGATGCAAGAAAGACCATGGCTGTCGGTTGGAGGTATAATGATTTTCGTCAAGGCGGTGTGTGCGATTTGTTCTTTGATTTGAACTTGCTCGCTAGAAATCAAAGATGCGGGGTGCCTCGGTATAGCTGAGTCAAAGTTGTTTGTACCGAATGGGGGTGGGAACGAGCACGCTGGTCGGTATTGACTTGGCTGATGTCGCAAAGCTTGTGTCAGCCAGAGGTTAGACGAGTGGAAGTTGTTGGCGGTCGATTGTGGTATAAATACTGAGCATCCTATGCCTCTGGGAGCTTACAGGCAGATCTGCGTAAACGATAATCTGAATGCGCTGACTCTCCAAGAAGAAGATGCAGCCACGTCCTCACATGGATCAAATGCTAGGTCCGCAAGGATGCGGCCGCCTGAGGAGGAGGCTCACGCGAGGCTCTGACATTGGATTCCAGAGGATGACCATCCACTTCCCCCTGGCGATAGCACCTATCAATCCGATGGTTCGGCAGCTGTCCTGAGATCCACGAAAAGCATACTCGCCCACGGGCCTGGTTTCATTTGTAAAAGGGGGTGTCGCATCCATATTCCAACTCCGTACAAACGTAACAGTACGAGGTACTTCTGAGATGTGTTGGGCGTCGGGGATCCCCACTGTGTTGGTTAGCGCTTATCATTGTCGCAACCTAGCATAACACAAGTGAGGAGAGGATTGCCACAAAAACTAAAATTGCCCCAGATATCCCCGAGTTGCCATATTGAGGGTCAAGTGCAGCTTGGAGTAATCCTTGGCGGGATAAACTGTACTCGGCACGTCGTAAATACGCTGGTGCTGCCGTAAATGCAGGATTAGATAATAGTCGAGACTCCACGTCGGAGACTCTCCATGGCCCATTTCTACGGCGTTGTTTGAGGATACATAGGGGATGGTTGCTGACGTGAGTATGATGGTGTTGAGAGCCGGGGCTCCCTCATAGAGACTTCACGAACCAGATGGTACCAGAATCTCTGCCTTCCTCGCCACTGACACCATTGTCAATCACATACGGGAACCGAGAAAACCCTACGCGAGGATAGAATCTCCCAGCGTCTTCATTCGCTGCTGCCATGAGCAGATGAAGCCCTTTTACCCTTCGCTCTTTGGCCGCACCACAAAACTGCTCAATCAAGCGTCGACCCCAGCCTTGCTTTTGAAATGGGGTCAGTATATCAATGTGCATATGCGCCGGCCATTGTTCCATTAGCTGAGGATATTGTGCGTGCAGCATCGTACGAGGGTTAAACATGATCTCTCTTAATGCGTTTGGTAGATTTTCGTTCCAGCCAGTTGGCTCCTCGGGGCCTGGCTTTTCTAACCCCTGCGACTGCATGTAGGGAATATATGTTTCCTCGTACTTTTGCACAAACGAGGCAGTGTCAGGGACCCCGAGCAGATACCCTACTGCAAGGCCATCACCATCGTCGAGAACAAAGCAGGTTTCGGGTTCTAGCATGAGATAGGGTCGACACCACAGGAAGGAAGCATAATGCAGAACTGGGTCGCCTGCATCGCGCAGATCGGGAGCGGCAGTGTCACGGAACTAGACACCAGTCAGATATAGCCATAGTATGTTGGAAATGGTAGACGAACAATATGAATCATGGCGTCCTTGTCCGACTCCTGGTACACGCGGATGAAAGCCATTATGAACGTCTTTGCGCTGAAGTAGAGCCACGAGTAGCAGGCCTACTTGAAACAGTATCGACTAGGTCATAACCTGAGCAAGATGAAGCGAGAAACAGAAAGCATACTTGTACATGGCCAGCTGTCACATAATGCAGGCGCTTAAGTGACTGTCCAGAGGGATCTGCGTCCACTGTTGTCTCGAGGGATGGATTGGACATCCTTGGAACATGTCAGGTTGCATTGAGGATCCGCGACGCGGATCATCGGCCGATGAAGAGCCTTAGTTTACCCATGAAAAGGGAATGTTTGCCGAAGCTAGTGAGTCAGCCACTTGCCAGTCCATGCTTGGCACTTTGGCTAGCTGGATCCAATTTTATCGCCGTGTAGATCCTCGTTTACTACCTCGTAGATCCTATCTCCGTCTGCAAGTCAGAACCACTACGGGTATGCCTGCGCGGTGAGTCGAGCCCAAACGTGAAACGAGGACATGGCTAGCTCTTCGATGTCGCACACATGTACCGCTCCACAATCTTGGGGAGCCTGTGTGTCGTTGTCTGCTTCCAACCCGACCTCCCCACCGATCTTATGCCTTACACAGTGTGATCCGTCGCTGGGCTCCTCCTGCATTCTCTACAAATCCGGATGCTTGAAGCAACTTGGGCTGTCTGAGCAAAAGAGGCGGGCTATAAACCGCGGCGTTGTCGATGAGATGTCTACCTTCGATGCGTCAACGCCTCACTGGCTGTCACGAACTCCCGAGAAAGAACCGATCTGCAGCCAGGAGCTCCTCATGCGGCCCAAGACTTCATTGTTGGGTTCCTCAGGTTGAATTGACCTTCAAATGCACTGCACAGGCGGGCAGCAAACAGTGTTGAGAAGTCAGAAAGTGAAATGAAACATAGCACCGCATCCCCTGCTCCGCCCTGTGCATGGTAGCGTATCCTTGCTCGAAACAGAATCACGAACTTTTTGACTGGAACTCAGTATCTGATTGGTAGGTATCGAGTTCTCTGGAAGGTTGCAGCTGGCTACAAGTCTCGACACACCTGTAATCAGCCGGTGGAATTAGCACGGAAAGAACTCCTTGTTCCAGAAACCACTTGGTGCTGTGGGCTTCCTCAGCCTTCTGGGCTTCTGCCGGTCGCTGTCGTGGCCGATCACGTGAAGCATGGTTCAGACCATGTTGCCTTATGGACTTGCTTGCCATGGGATTTCCAAGTTGCGCATACCAGGCTCGACGGTCCTGTGACATTGAGCCGAGGTGTTTCCCACCTCTGGTTGTACTAACTTGTACGAGAAAGGGTGGGCGGAAAGACGGCATTGACTCTGGGACGGTTGACCGTCCATCACGGATATCGGTGCCCTGTGGATAAGGGATCAAGCGACCAGTACCCATCGAATCGGACTTGTCTCCTTGGCCCCGGCTACAGACAACCGAGTTCTCGTAGACGCCAATCTTTCCATCCTCTTTGGGAGAGGTCGCATCAGTCGGCTCCTCACCCTTGATGTTGGTAGAGAATTCCCAGTTCGGGACCTAGGATTCAGAAGTTTCCAGATGGGTCTGCAACAAAAAACTCGGACACGCTTTTCATCCTCACTCGCGCCTTTCGACATTAGACTCCACCCAAAATCCTACTCTCAGGTACAAGTACATGGAATTGCACTCCCTTCGACAAACATCCACACCGCCAAAATATCTTTTGAGAAGACCAATGAAGTGATCCGAGGCATGTGTGCCTCGCCGTGCCGACACCCGGAAGGGGGGCCCTTTCTCGACGAGTGAAGAGCGACAAGTAACTCAGTGGAGAAGTTTGTGCGAAAGGGAAAAAGTTTATCGGTAGGATTCGGCGGGTGGCTTGCATACGATATACTTTTGAGGAGGCGATCAAATAGTCATCAGTCAGCAGGTCTGGCACCTCGTACGACCTACAGTACAAGTTACTCTACTCCGCTGTCAGACCCCGCGGAAAAGAGAACGAGAGAAGAGATATTTACTGCAGCAAGAAACAAATAGAATTTCCTGCTCATTCGTACAAAATCATGGTTGGTTCGGGGGTACTGGGGGAAGAGAATCTTCGTACAAGTACACAGATCCAGACATGTGCATCTACGGAGCAGGGGTGAGTGAGTGAGTGGGTGGGACGATTACCGCATTCGGAATGCTCGCCTTCGCCTTCGCCTTCGCCATCGCCATGGCCCTTTGGGTTTCACACCGCCAACCCCCATCCGTCACAAGGCATCAACTAGTTTCTATCTGGGATTTTCTTCCCCTCTGCGCCAATTGATCCCCTCGTGCGAGCACTAAATAGTAGTGACAGTGAGTCAAAAACCCATACCGGGATCACGGCGTTGAGAGGGAAATGCAGACCCCTCTAAAGCCTCTTTTCCCTCTTCCCTCACCAACCAGACTCAGGACGCGGGACGCGGGACTTGGTGCAGGGGGACAAGGGGGAAGAGTATGCACGCATGCACGCATGTAAGGAGGGAGTCGGTCAGTCGGTCAGTGCGTGCACGGGCGAATGAGTGAATGAGTGAGCGAGTTGAGCGAGCGCTGATATACCCGTGCACGCACTGCCCGCCTTGGGAGAAATACCCGGCCCTCGGACACGGGACGTTGCTACTAGGTATGTACGAGTAGACGCGAACCAGACAAACAGACACGCACGACTCGCCTCGCGAACCACGGTCTGCGCGAAAGAGAAAGGGAGGAAAAGGCCGAGGGGAGGGATAACCGAACCCAACCCCCCCGAGACCATCGAACGAGGCTGGATTAAAAGACTTGCCACAGCCGAGGTTTTTTGGTTTTTGGTTATTGGCTTCTGGCTTTTGGCTGTCGTGAGGAACGACGATGGTATTGGTATACTATGGTAGATATGGTAGATAGGTAGGATAGAGAGAAGACGAAGGGGGGGGGGGGGGGGGGGGGGACAGACGGTACACAGGACAGGAGACGAAAGGTATAACAAAGAGAAAAGAGAGAAGAAAAATTTGGTAGATATCCATATGTTTATTCATTCATTCGTCTCGATTCGACGAAATACTATATCAGTGTAAATGTAACCTCCTTTCTCTATTCCTCCTCATATTCATCGGACGCATTGGCCGAGAAGAACCTCCAAGACGAATTCGTGCTCTCGACGAGGACCTCTCCATGGTGTCGCCAGGACCAAGCGGGACACAGGTGTAGAGCGCTGACGACTCATCCAATAGCCTGTGCCTGGTCGCTTGTTCCTGTCGCTGCCAGGAAGTGGTTCTCCACGAGTTCTGGAACTCCGTCAAGTAAGTACTCCATAGGACCTTCTGTTCGTCCTGTCATGTTGGTGTTGGTCTTCGAGGGAATATTGTCCGCGCCGTCAACAATTTGTTGAGAAGGGGGGACGTCTCAGAAGATCCAATCTCTCGATCGAAGTCTCCACAAGCCGTGGGTTGTGGCTTGGGAGTTCAATCAATAGGTAAGACTCAAATGCCTTCCCGCTGCTGCAAACATCGCTTATGCTGGGGTATCGTAAACCGCTAAAAGGGAAAAAAGTCGTCAACGTCAAAGGTGGTCGTACATCGTGCCAGCGAGATGGGGGCGATACAGGTGTAGAGTGCTGAGCCTCATCCAATAGCCTGTCGCCTTCATCTCACGGGCCTTCGCGACTTGGTCCTCGTCAACGTCAATCCCCCCAGGTCTTCCTCCCCATCCTCCAGATCTAGCGGGAACCCATACTCGTCCACCAGTTCCAGGTCCGAGGTTGAAGACCTCTGTGCCTCTGCCTCTGATTCTGATGTTGCGGATGATGACGATGACGATGAGGGCTGTTTCCTTTCTTGGGGCATTAGGTATTTGTCGTCTGTGGGCGATGTCTGGCGCTCTCGCTCCGTCCGGGCGATATCTTGGAGAAGTAGTTCGAGGAGATGGTCATGGCTGAGTTTGAGACGGAGATCCTCGCGCACTTGCCTATCCGAGGACTTTCTCCGGGCGGTGTCGGCCAGATGATATGTTTCTTCGCGCGACAGACGTCGCGTTGGTGCGAGATCGCGCGAAGGCGGTCTGCTGAGAGGTTCCAGAAATGATAGAGGCATCTTTGATGTGTGTTTGTATCAAAAGGTGAGGTGGGTTAGATTTGAACTGTTACGTTGTAGTCGGGGTAGACGGCTCAATATAATTATGACTGTGTCTACCGGGCGGTTGTACGAAGAATGGAGAGGTTTTTCGCCGGTGGAGACTTCAGCGAAGAAAAAATCGGGCTGACGAGGCGGTGGAGTTGCTGGTTTTTGTTGTTGTATCCCAAAAAGATTGTCAATGGGGCGGCGGGCGGCTCGAGCCTCACTAGGGACATGTGAAAGGGCTCAAACTCGGATGAAAGTATTTTGTGTAGTAGAAATCTCGACGGGTTGTTGTCGGGAAAACGTTTTGCGGAGACTTGGAGAGTTGTGTCTGTGTCTGTTTCTCTTCCTTGGAAATGGGAATTGAATTGGGAGAGGAAGTGTGGACTAGATTGAACACGAGGACAGCACATCTGTATATTAATGATATTGGCTTACTGATGCAGGTTATAGTTTTCAATCAAAAAACACGGATGCCTGAGTCACACAGCCCATAGACATGGGCTAATGGGACCGATGGTGCCATGGTATTATCGCCGTGGGAACCATAAATTTCTCCACCGGGATGTTGCGGTGCATACGAAGGAGCAAGGAGGCCGTAAGTACGAGTACGCATTGCTAAGGCAGGGTTGAGTAAACCCCGTAGAGCCGAGTCGGAGTTCTCAGTAGTACGAGGTAGTGGGAGTAGATACGCGCGGCGAGGCGGGCGTGGGCGGCAGTGTTCACGCTTTAGTGAGAACGGGAGAAAAAAATAATCAAATCAATCAAATCAGAAACGACGTTTGACTCACGCCTAGCGAAAACCCAAGACTGGCAGGGCAGAGGATTGGCTGGTTGTTGCTGTTGCCTTGTTGCGCAATACTGGACGAGGCGGATTGAATTGGTCCGTCGGATGCGAAATGCCGTTTAGGGCAAATCGTGGGATGCCTTGGTGCCTTGGGGCCTTTGGCATTGGCATTGGCATGGGACACGGAGGAACTGTATCCAACCATGGAGCCGGGCTTGAGGCCGAAGAGTGGACGGAGATTACAAACACAGGCAGACAAAGGCTCGTCTTCGGCCGAAGATTTACACCTTGCAGGGGCTGCAGGGGGGTACCCGTTGGTTCTCTAGGCATGCGCTTATAGGGAGCGTAAAGGGCTTATGGGGGCTTATTGCCGGACGGATGACTCTTTACCCTGGGATGATGGGCGCCGTTGCTACCTATGAGTATGCACACTCTCGCTCGTCCGTCACCTTTAAATCCATCATACGCCCTACGCCTTTCCTTCCCCCCAACGAGGTGCAATAGTCTCTCCGGGCTTCTACAACTCCCCGCGATTATTGTAACCTCTTACCGCTTCCACGGGTCAGATGTGCGAACAACATCTCACCTCACATCCCACATCCCATAACCTACATCCTGTCTCACCGTATCAACCAGCACGAGGTAAAGTAATTGATTATCCGGCAAAGTCTTGGTGCGATTTGGCATTTCTTCTCTGTTTCCGGATGACCTGCACATCCCGGAAGCAAAAACGAAGATGCGGACTTCAAACGATGGACTCGGGCCCGTCTACATCCACGTCCACGTCCGCGTCACGGCCGTCCTAATTATTATCATAATGACCAGTACAAGCATAAAGTCCCCGAGTCCTTCTTAGCTTTTGCCCTTGACCTTCTCGCAACATTGCCCCGGATGTGCACAACTTCCGAGCGAATAAGCAGTACCGAGTACGAGTAACCAGTACGAAACACGAGAGCCGAGAGAATACGAGGCACAATTTGATATTGTTGCTTACTTCTACAAATACAGCCCCCTTGTGCCCCGCGGAAAATAGGTCAGACGGTCGAGTCACTCTATCTCAATAACCAACTCGACATACGAATGCAGGCAGACAAGATTATTATTTGCCACAAAAGAGGTAAAGCATATCACCTGGTGCATTGACCCAGAACCCCGTAAGTGCCGGCTTGTCGATGCTATTTCTCGTGCTCGTTCAACTTGACACGTTGCAGAACGAAGCCGCGAGCATAACGCTGCAGCAACAAGGTTTGGTCGTAATAGTGAACACAACACGACTGAACTGCGCCTCAGACAAACACGAACCCTTTTACTGATTATCCTTGTATAGCACGAAATCTTTGCCGTGAATAGTCATGTCACGTGCCCTTACCTTGAAGGGAAGGACTTTCCATTTCGGGTTAGTCATCGTGTCCAAGGGCGTCGCCAGCGTGGCATCGATGCCGCCCTGTCACAACAGAACTTTTCCCACCAAGACGTTCTCACCTTCATGTTTCAGCCCTGGGCTTATAGTGGCTGAAGTGCAGTAGTTGGGGTGATTTTGTGTGATTCTGCAGGTTCAAGGTTAGTTTAAAACGAAAGGGAAGCGTGATGCACCAAAGGGCGCCCAGGCCTTTTGGCAGATGCACGACCAAGTCTTCGCTCTTTGATAGCATCAGCGTGGAGGGCGCCTGTTCCAGGGATATCGGAAAGGGCTGCCTGTCAGGAGGTGCGACACAAGGTCAAATGCTCATGTCGCGAATATACTCGTATGACAGGCTTGTAGGCCACCGAGTCATCCATTTTTGAGCTGGCAAAGAATCCGCGCGTTTGTCATGACCGAAACTGCTGCTAGATCACTGAGGACACCATCAGCAATCTTTCCATAATCCTCTTTTCATCCGTATCCGTAAGGCTCTCTGCCTGTTCCAGAGGTGCACATCTTTTCCCTCGCATGCTTGGTTCACATGGCCCCCCGAGGGTCAAGTTCAAGACTTGAATTGATCGCTCTTCGGGGCTTTTCTGTCGCTATCAAGGCTTCCCTCGTCGTCAATCGGTCTCCCCTGACTGATGATACTTGCGCGTCGTTGCTTGGCGGCTTCCTCCCTCTGCAAAAACCTCTCTTGCTCCCTTCTGCTCTTCTTCAGGTCCACAAAGAAGAACAACAACAGAAAACTCAACCCGCTGAGCCCAAACAGGAAATAAAAGGGCAAGCTATTATTTCCCTTGGGATCCGCGTCGATGATGGCGCTACTGACAATTGGGCCAATAAACGCGCTTGTCTTCCCCATGATAGAGTAGAGACTGAAGAACAAAAATTCTGGGAAAAGCACATATTAGCTCACTCCGAGGATAAGCGAACCCAGAGATGCTGAAACACATGTCCACAAACGAAACGAAAAGCTTTACCTTTGCCGCGGGGAGTGACCTCGCTGATCATTGTCTGCGAGTACGCATACCACTGGCACACAAACAGGCCGTAGAAGGCTTGATATACCCAGAATTCCCATTCATGGTGAAACCCGAATGATTGAGTCCATACTCCGATCAACCCCCAACCGTCAAGGAGCAAAATACCAATCATGACTGCGTCAAACATTGTTTTGGTGCTGAGTCCGAAGCGCTTTTGGATGAGCCAATAGGCAAGAATCCCGGCACCTTGAGCCGCGATTCCCACGATGAGCAGGTATGTCAGTGTCAACGTATTGTACGAGACGACTGAGTTTTGTAGAGTCGCAATAACCGTGACTGTTGTGTTCAAAGAATCGCCGAGAAGGAAGTACCCTAATAATCTGTGCATGAGTTTGACAATTCTCACCAGTGGAAGACGACATAGGCACTCACCGACAAGGTACAGCAAGCTCTGCTTCAACTCCCAGATCTGGACTAGGGCCCGCCAAATGTTCCAAAAGCCAACACTGATGATGTTCATTCCGGGGGGAAGTTTCTGACCAGGTCGTCTCTTCTCCAGGATGAACCAGGGCACCGCAAGCACGATCCAGACACCAGTCGCATACGCAATGAGAACCGATAGGCCCCATAGATTGTTCGCAGCACTTGCGTTGACGTTCAAAGCGAACAATATTCCAACTGCCACCAAAAAAATATTAGCGTCGTTCACCAACATTGGTTTCTCGGCAGGTCGCAAACTCCAGGCCTTCATTGTGAAAAGGCGAAATTCACACAAGGCTGACACCCCCCGTCCGAATGGACACTCACCTAGCACGGCAAGAACGACGATTTCCCCAGCGCTTTGCATGATAAAGGCGACGTTGTATATGCGATTCCGCTCCATCATGTCGGCAAAGTCATAGTCGTCTCTACTAATCTCTCGGTTCTCATATTGTACCGCCTTCTCCCTCATCTCAGGCGTGTTCCGTGCCAACCCCGGAAAAGCTTGACAATATCTCGTTAAAATCGTCCACAAGGGTATGAACTTGGTCCTGTTGCTTACCCGCTGTCCAGAAGGTGATGCACATCTGATAGGAAATAAGCCCCGTCATGTACATACCCGTTGCAGCCGGCCATTTGTCTTGCGTGTGTATTCCTAGCCAGCCAAAGCCTATCGCGAAGGAAACAATCGACCAGAACAGTAGGACATAGGGTCGCCATTTCCCATAATCAGCAAGACTACCAATCAGCAGAAATAAGACTACTTGAATGGCAAAGGATATGCCATTTGCAAGTAAGACGATGCTGTTGATGGTACGGTAGGCGCCCAGAAATTGTAGTCGTTCGCTGTCACCAGCGGCCTCGTAGAGCAGGTCTTGAAATGACGTCGGTGCAAAATTGAAGAGGGTCAATCCATTATTGCCGATATAGTAGCAACTGGCGGTATGTGTTAGCCTTCATCTCATTGACAGCATCATGGCCAATCGAAATGCCTTGTATGATGTGGAAGGAACTCACTAATAGGCCCAGCGCTCCCATTTCGAAGTCTCATACTTCGGATCAAACTGATCTGGAGCGACCGGCCGGTCTTCATCGAGATCGTCGGGGCTATTGAGTTCAGCGTCCTTCTTTGGATCTTCTGCCTCTGGTACGGTGGCAGCAGCAATAATCCCTGCATTGGCGACGGACATGTTGACTTCCGAGGATAGACCTCACGAGCAACTTCAATCTCTCCGCCAGAGCTTCTGTGAAACTCATCGGAGAAAGAAAAATAGCTAAGGGTATATAACAGGGCAAGCGGCGAAGACGCCATCACGGTGATCTCCCGTAACATGGAGATGTGATAGGAGGTGAGGACGGGTATGACGACAAGCACCAAACAAGCAACACAAGGCGACATGGCTGATTGCTACTGCAATGCTCAATGGCCAACGACTGCAGTGGTCCAATCATTGTAACGTGCCTAGTGGCCAGAAAAATATGTCAGAGTAGTAATGGGCAAAGAAAGCGGGATTGACCGCCCAGTCACAGCGCCATCACCATGAGCTTGGATTATTGCCAATTGGCTGCCCGGGGCGCTAGATAAGCTTGGATATTTTCAACAGCCTTGATCGGCCCGAGCGGCGAGCCTGACGGTGGACTGATTGAGTGAGTGAGTGAGTGCGAGAGAGACAAATGTGATCAAGTCAGAGGAATTATTTTTTTCTTGCAGTGAGCACCGCCCGGAGAAGTGTACTGCGGAGACGGCAAAGATTCAAGGATGGAGGTACCTACAAGTAAAGACAATTTGGGTGAGCGAGGGGATGCCTGAATACAAGGTACTGCTGTAAGTAGAGCATGTGGTACAGTGTCGTGTACCTAAGTCCTACTGGTGGGTGCTGAGCCAGAAGAATGACATCATCCCTAAGGAATTGAAGACAACATGAGTTTTTCCAGACTAAAGCGGAATATAGTTGTTCCATCGGCTACAAAGACACGTGATGTACACAGGTGACAAGATTTGTTGGCTGCGGAATGCCCACCTACATCATTCCCGCCGTCATCAACGGTACTTGTTGAACTCAAGCCCCCTCGGACGACCTACTCGTGAAGGGTCCAGCCTATAGATCGGCTACATCGATGCCCTGTCGATCATGGTAACAGGTCATGCACACGCAAAGTTGGGAACGTGGCACGAGCTCATGTCTGGATCGACGATGGGGTCTGGGTAAAATTTCCAGTGGTGCGGCGAAGCAGCAGGTGTCGGGTCATGGTGGTAAGGGGGTCCCCGTTTTAGGAAGTCCTAATCTTTTCCAACATTGACAATGTCCAGATCCGAATCAGCTCGCCGTCATCGCCACCAGACTATCTGCAGGCCCTTGGGCAAAAATAACTCCATCGAATATGATCATCGCGACCTCGAACGTTCTGGCCGGCGACTGGCGACAACGGACATGTCTCAGCTAGGAAGTCCAGGGCTGGTGACAGGACGATCACTGATGCCGTAAGAGGAGGGACCAAATCGACGATTGGACAATTCGAAGGTTCCAGGTTCTGTTGAAGTTTGGCCGATCGCGTTGCAAGGTCCAGATCATGGCAGACCATGGCAGACCCCTAAATCCCTTTTCGGCCCGGCGCCGGACTCGTCAGGTGCTGACGCTTGGCACTGGTTTCGAGCTTCATCTGCGATTTCTGCGATTTCATATGGTGGCGTCCGATCTGTGTGCCCTTTTCGACCCTTTCTCCAAGGCTCTGGAGATCGAGCCAAACAAATACTTCCTTCTTACCATTACCGCGCACCCACCTGCCCACCTGCCCACCTGCCGCTGCGACAAGCAACAATGGCGAGCGCCATTCCTTTACCTGCCATGACCATGGTTTCGGCTTCTTATTCCTCACCTCACTCAGATCGTTGTCGACGCTGTGTAAAGCCAACCAAAACCATCCTCGCCGCCTTACAATTTCGATCTCGTCTACCGCAGCTCGTGCGCACCGAAACCAACCCTAACGAATACGGCTATCCGAAGAGAGCGCTACAAAACCCCTGCTCCGGACGGTCATCCTTGATCCACCATACACCTCCACGCAATAACGACACCAAGATACCACTCATACCTATCTGATTGACTACACAGCCTCCGTCACGGCGCGAGAGCTATGTCGCAGCATGCACGACGCTCAAATGTCATCGGCACAGTCACCTAAGCGGGCGCTGTCTTCCACAACCAGTAGCAACCCTCGCCGTGCCCGCCCGTCTCAATCCATATCGCTCCCGAAGAATAAAAAGGTCAAGATTGATCACAGGCCCGAAGATGCAGACCCAAAGCCGTCGCCGGTTGCGGAAGAAGCCCATCCGACACTTCCACAAGGAGAAAGTCGTGACTCGAGCAGTGACCAGAGTGCAGCCAAATGGTTTGCCAGCAAGAACGAGAACGTGGTCGATTCCCGCGACAAGAGGGCATCGCAAGAGAGTAGGCAACCCCCTGGTGCTTTCGCGCTTGCGGCTTGCTGTCGTTGCTGACGTGCTATAGATGATTCGCCTTTCTATCTTGTCCATCAGGGCAGCTCCCACCAGTTGAAGAATTTGCGTTCCCACAATGCAGAGAGTTTCGGCCCGCCACCCAGAGACGAGAATGAAAATGAGAACGATGAACTTCGCGGGGTCATTGACGACCTCACCGTGGAGAACAAAAAGTTGAAACATCTCCTGAGGAACTGGCAGGCGCGGTCGAGTCCCACCAGCAGTAACCCGGATAGAGTGGTTGAAGTCCGCCTGCACGGACTACCAGCCGAGAAGAAGAGGGAGTTGGAAGACCTTTTGAAAAAGTTTGCTACCAGCCTCAATGGAGATTCCGCATCGCAACCAAGCTCATCAGGTCCCATGGAAAAATCCGCCTCAAGTGCTGGATATGCCGCCGTACCGGCAGTGAAGGGCCTGCACGACCCTAATGCTACAGACTCGGGTTATGCCTCTATCTCAAACTCCGGGATGCAATCAACTTCGCGGTCTAGCGGTCTCAGACTACGCGAGCCTGTGTCGAAAAGCAAAAAGGAATCCGACATCGAAAGTTATCTGCACGATATTCCAGATTCACTGTTCCCGCGCGAGACTGTCTCTGTCAGTGAGAATGCCAAGATGGTGTTGGTGGTGCAACGGTTAGAAGAGCTCTTCACCGGAAAGAGGGCTGCGCCTGGTGAACACAGCTTGCCCGTCCAGCAACAGAAGATTTCTCGATCAGCCGCCAAGGCTGATCGGCGCGAGGATCAGCGACTGAATCGAGCATCGAGAGTGGAGGGAACTCGTGAAGCTCACATCCTCCCTCACGACTCCAGGATCAATTTGGACGCCATAGAGGCCAGTGTTCACCCGCAATGGAATCAGTCCGGATCCGAACAGTCCTCTGCGGAAGTGAGAGGCATTCCGGTCTCGGAATCTCCCGGGTCCCCAGACCAACGGCCCACTCGACCTTTGGATCTTGACATCCATCGTGCGCAAGTCGCTGCGGACAATATCGAGTATATTCGACATCTAGGCATGTCGTCGCCGCTATTTGACGACGATACCGACAGCAAAGAACAACCCTGGTTGTATCTGAATTTGCTTGTCAGCATGGCTCAGCTCCACACGCTCAATGTTACGCCTGCCTTTGTACGTAAAGCCGTCAAACATTTGAGCACCAAGTTCGAGCTTTCGAAAGACGGGCATAAATTGCGGTGGATCGGGCGCACCCCGCAAGTCGAATATGGTTACCAAGTAAGCCCCGAGGGTCCACCCCAGCGCACGTCGGACGATACTGGCGACGATGCCGGACGCCAAAGTGGCAGGAGTGCGACTAGCACACTCAACGAACCCTCGAACTCCATGTCCCTTTCAGATGACAAAGTCCTGCGGGGAAAGATGAGTGGTACCTCCCACCTGGTGAACTCTACAACGACGTCTTCCAATCATGCAATCCAGCCACCAACAACCCTGTCCAAGTCGACCTCTGCGTTTGAGTATAAACCTATTGTATTTCAAGGGAAGAGGACGTTTCTCAAGGCCAAAAACTCATACCTGGATTCATCGAGTTCGCATGAGGATAAGTCACCCAATTCTGCTAGCCTGGTCCGTGCGTTCAGCCGCTCCAGCATCAAACCCAAAGAGGATGCCTATGATGGCTACATGACGTTCTTCAGCAACCCTTTCTTCTTCACAGATCTCAGTGGTGACCAAGCCCCCACCAACGTCAGATTGAGCGGCTCTACAGGAGCCCGAGATGTTCTCGGCATTGAGAAGAGGCACACCGTGTTGGACGACTCCCTACGGGATGCTAAAGCATGTTATTTCCTTTCCCCTTGGCCACCAGCACGCAATACGTGGCCTCAGAACTGTCCAGAGATAGACCTCCCGCTTGAACCCATCAAGTCTTCGGGCGAGGACGAAACAGTGCCGATAGAGTTTGAAGCTTCGGGCCTCGGGGGCGTGCGACCAGAAGATAACTTTGCGCTCGATGCCCAGATTGCAAGAAAGCGGCGGAAGCTCGACAGTAGCGGCGGTAAGAGGACAATCCGACAGAAGCGGCCTGCCATATATATCTACGAAGTTGCCAATTGCAGGGAGTTGAGTTTACAACCTTCGCGTTTGCCACCTCCAAGCTACGTTTTCTTCACAACAAGCTCCTCATCTGGTGCAGAGAAAGGATACTACGACGACGAGGACAGCAATGAGTCTTCGGAGGCGGAATATTCTCCGGCACCGGCTGGGTTTTTATGGCAGTGGTCGTCGAGTTCAAACGAACGACAAGTTGGCGACGACGAGGCTTCGGCGGCAAGTTCTTCATTAGGAGTATTGGAAGCCGCACGAGCCAGGATTCCGCTTCCTGGTGCCACGAATGAGCCGGGCCGGACGAGCGGTAGCCTTGCTGCCACTGCAGGAGCGAGTTGGAGCGTCGCCTCCAATGAACCTGATACAGGCTTTGCCAATGATGACAACAGTGACTCATCGGACGAGATGAGTATGGATGATGAAGGATAAGACTTCATCCCATGGTGGGTGGTTTGGGGAATTGCTTCATCTGACTGTATAATGAAATTGCATCTTGGAAATTACCTCCAACTGAACAGCATGGCGTTGGCGAGTTTTGTTGTCCTCTGTAAAACGCCTGTGGTATGTGCACGATTTGGTGGAATTTGTTCTATATTAGGCATGTCGGTAAATACATCTCGCAAAGTGTCACGACTATTTCAATGAGACCCCTTGATGAGAGATGTTTCTGAACAATGGTGATGTGACGAGATCTGGAGAATTACTCTGTGTTAGTGATTGTCATTTCTTGCTCAGCACATCCTGGCCTCGCCGATTATTGCATCGGAAGGGGGCTTCTCCGGGTGTTCTCGGAAAAAGACTGGCAGCGTACAAGTACTCGGTACCTCGCACAAGAGCGAGTTTATGACCTCAGCTGGTGGCCGCCCATGGTGCCCAGAATAAAAGACACGGCCCCGGATCCGGGTTGCTTAGGAGCTTCGGAAAGGCCACCTAGCCTACCTGGGTAAGCGCCTACTTCAACCTAAGCAGCTCCCCTGGCATTTGGATTCGCTTGGCACCCGGGGACTCCCCTCGTTCCCTGGCGTTCCGCGTGGCTAATCTGTCCGTTCACAATCATTTTCTCCTCGTCCTTCTCCATCGGATCCGTACCGTGCTCTTCCTTCATCCTGCGGTAATCATTCCGGGGTGCTTTACCGATCCCGCGTCGTCCATGCCATCTCCGCTTTAAACAGTCCGGCTTGCCCAGCAGGTCGGCTCTTCCAATCCTCTTCACTGTTATTCCCCCGTTGTTGCTCCTGTCTTGGTTGTCTCGTTCCTTGTTGTGTGATTTTGCTCAGCTTCTTCCCCAGGACATCTGCGAGTGCTTAGCTGCATCTCTCTGCAGAGAAGTGAAAGAGAGCCCAAACCGTGATCATGGCGTCCTTCCTTGAGTCCTCTCTCCGCATTCCTTCACAAGCATCTCGAGGTTGGAGAACCGCGAGGTACTTTACTCGCGACCAACGGAAGGTGAGTGTAGCCACGACGAAACATCATGCCATTGTCCAAGGACAGCCCGACTGATTCGATCCTCTACAGCAAAACCTCCTCTTCGCCCGCTCGTTCTCGTCGACCCTGCGCCGCCATGAAATCAACAAGGTCGTCCCCTCGGCCGCTGAAGCCATCAAGGACATGAAGTCCAACTCTACCCTCCTATGTGGTGGCTTTGGTCTCTGCGGTGTGCCAGACACGCTGATCAACGAGGTCGCGAAAACACCATCCATTACCGGCCTTACCGCGGTCTCCAACAATGCCGGTATTCCAGGGGCTGGTCTCGGCCAGCTCTTGGAGACCAAGCAAGTTAGGAAAATGATTGCCAGCTATGTTGGCGAGAACAAAGTGCTTGAACAGATGTACTTGACGGGAGAGATGGAGCTGGAACTGACACCCCAGGGTACTCTGGCTGAACGTTGTGCGGCTGGAGGCAAAGGAATTCCGGCATTCTATACACCAGCTGCGTTTGGTACGGTCGTGCAGACGGGGGAGATCCCTCTGCGACACAACAAGGACGGCAGTATTGCACAGTTCGGAAAACCCAGAGACGTCAAGGTGTTCAATGGCAAGTCCTATGTCATGGAGGAAGCGATTGCAGGTGACTACGCATTTGTGAAAGCATACAAGGCTGACAAGCTCGGGAACTGCCAATTCCGTCTCGCCGCAAACAACTTCAATGGTGCCATGGGCCGGAATGCCAAGGTCACCATTGTGGAAGCTGAGCATATCGTCGAGGTTGGCGAGATTGATCCGGTTTCGGTGCACTTGCCGGGCATATATGTGAGCAAAGTCGTCCAAGCGACGGCCGAGAAAAAGATTGAGAAATACGTCAACCGCAAAGAAGAGGGCGCCGATGTCAAAGACAGCCTTGGAAAAGGCGATGCCGCATCGAAGCGCGAGCGGATTGTGCGTCGCGCCGCCAAGGAGTTCCAGAACGGCATGTACGCCAACTTGGGGATTGGTATGCCTATGCTGGCCCCGTCCTTTGTGGATTCTTCAGTTGAAGTTCAGCTACAATCGGAGAACGGCATCCTCGGCCTGGGCCCGTACCCACTAAAGGGCGAGGAGGACCCCGATCTTATCAACGCTGGCAAGGAAACCGTCACTTTGCTCCCAGGCGCGTCGTGCTTTGGCTCAGAGGAGTCATTCGGCATGATCCGCTCTGGACGCATCAACATGTCTATGCTGGGTGCCATGCAGGTTTCGGCCAAGGGTGATCTGGCCAACTGGATGTTGCCCGGCAAGGTCAAGGGCTTTGGCGGAGCAATGGATTTGGTGAGCAATCCAGAGAAGACGAGAGTGGTGGCGTTGATGGAGCACACGGACAAGAAGGGGAATCCCAAGATTCTGAAACAGTGCGAGTTCCCTCTTACTGGAAGAGCGTGTGTCTCGAGAATTATTACGGAATTGGTGAGTCTCTCTGTCGTATTGGAACAAGGCTGCGGATAATAGTCGAGTTGAAACATATGCTGACCTGGTTTTGTGCCTCCAGTGCGTCTTCGATGTGGACTTTACCCACGGCCTGACGCTTATTGAACTCGCGGACGGAGTTACCGTTGAGGAGATCAAGGCCAAGACCGAGGCGCCTTTCAAGGTTGCGGACGACATCAAACCTATGCTATAAGCGTTCGCCCGATGCCATGTGCACGACGAGAGAACTACGACGAGATCAGCCGTGAACCGGGGCATAGCACAACAGCGTAGAAAGGGGAAAGTGAGGATAAGATATGAGACCGATGAGAGGTCAGAAAAGTCATTCAATAATCCTAAATATTCAATTTTCAGGCCAGAGCACACCAAGTTGGTTATTGGGATGTCGGCGAAAGAAAGACTCCAACCAGCACGAATGGAGGTTTGGCCGTGCTTCAAAGGTACGTTGACAACAGCCCTGGGTGGGAAAAGGACGACCTACCTACTGGCTCATCCTCGGCCGTGAGAAAGGGTCAGAAGCGGAGGCGGAGGTAGAGGCAGAGATCTGATCTCCCTTTTCGATTTGATTGTCACATTTACAGAATGTGAGATGAGAGATAAAAAGACAAAAGGGGAAAGATTTTCGGGAAAGAGCATGTTGGAATCATTGCAGTGCTGTTTTTGACGGGCAACGCGAGGGCGTGAGATATGGTTTATTTTGACTTGTATATTCGTTACTATTTCAACGAGGTCAACAAGATACCTGGTCCCTGATACATACGAGGAAGTGAGTTTCAGGCTTTGATACAAAAGGACGAGACGAGACGAGAACACTCGATTCGAAATCTCCCTTGCCTGTGTCTGTCCCTGTCTCCCACTCACCCACCCACCCACCTACCACAGCGGCTCTTTCTTTTCTTTTCTTTCTCGCCTTTCTGACTTTTCATTTTTGTTCTTACCTTTCGTCATTCCTACCTCCTTGATTTCTCGGCCCGCTTTTTTTCGCCTTTCTCCTTCTTGCCGGACTCGGTCTCGGCGTTGTTGCTCTTGCGCATCGTCCCCCGTCTGAGCCAGAACCCTTGGTACCTATGCGTGCGTGTCGCGCCGGGTAGGACGCGGACGCGGACGATGGGTCGCGCGACGTGGTGGTATCGCATTAGAATTCCCGCCGCCGCTGCTGCTGTCACTCGAATACGTTCACAAGATCTTGACGCTGGCGCATGGTGGTACATGGGTCCGGTAGATTGACTCGGAGAGGGAGGGTTAGAGTTGGATGATGACGACGACGACGATGAATGCGAAGAATAACACGACGAAGAGGACGTGGAGAAGAAGGATGCGGGTGGTGGTGCTGCTCCCCCCTCCTCCAAGCCGCTGCTGCTGTCCTTGCGCGTCCTGATGAACTCGGCCAGTTGCGCCGTCGTGCGCACGTGTGGCGGCAGACTCTGGTCGCGGACGAAGTTGGCGTGGAGGACGCCCGTGCCGTTGTCGTAGTAGATGCTGGCTGGGGCGGGAGTGTCGGTCCAATCTGGTCGTCTTGGACCTCCTCGCTGTGACGCGGCGGAGGGCGGTGCTGGCAGCGGAAGACCACTTGAGTTCGACTTTGACTTTGACTCACCGACATCGTATGTGTACTCACTGACGTAGTCACTGTACCCGTAGGAGCTGCGCGCGGGGGTTATAGGTCTTGCGGTGGCTTCTTCTTCTCCTTCTCCAAACGCTCCGGACTTGGACACAGACTTACCTCTCTTTGCGAGCTCAGAGAAGCGAAAAGGCATGATTGTGAGTGGTCTTCAGGTTCTAGGCTTTTATTTGTCCTTTTTTGCTTGGAGATGGAGAGATCCTTGGGAGTAGAGGAGGAGAGAGAGAGAGGTATGAATGTGGTTTGTTTGTGGAAGTGTGTGTGTGTGTGTGTGTGTGTGTGTGTGTGTGTGTGTGTGTATGTGTTGGGGGAACTGAGATTGCAAAGCAAGCACGGATGGGTGGGTGGAAAAAACCTCCATGCACGAAAATAAAAGGGGGGGTGAGGGATGAGAAAGAAAAGGAGTCCTTAGATACTGTAGATAGATACGCTT